CATTTGGTCGATTTCGTATCTGCTTGTTAAGGATTTTGCGGCGACGGATGGGTCGACTGGCTCTCGGTTAACATATCATGTTGCCCATTGCCCAAATGCATGCTATCGAGAGCTGCGCCGAATAAAAATTCTTATAGAGATGTCTATAAACTGCCGTAAAAAGGAATTCAAAAAAACCTTTGCGGCATATTATATCAAACCGGAGATGACGAAAACGCCCCCGACTAGGTCATACGGGTTCCAGTAAGACACGATGTAGAGTCAAGATGACTCGAAGCTGTAATTCCACAGTTTATCTATTGTTGGAAACCGGTTCTTTGGGCTTGTGTATGATGAGGAAGCAGACAACTCCAGACTATGGCATCTATGAAGCGGTATCTGCTGATAATTAGAATACCAATTTTGCTAAACAAGGCTGTACTTACATCTTGTATCAGTTCTCTTCTAGAATCCATGTTGGTGGAACAAATCCGTATAGGATGTCTTTATCCAGTCAAAGAAATTGGCATTAATTCCGACCAAGACCATGCCATATGTTGCCATATATGCCATAGCTTTTCCAATGCCGTTCCTAAAGCAGGCTCTTTGCTTTGCCTCCACAACGGCTGAGCGGCTCTCAAACTTCTCGTGCTAGGATAATAAGGTTGTGCCAAATATTGTAATTGTAGCCAGCATATACGCTGATGTCTGTCACGGTTGTCGCATCAACATGACATTCACCCTGGAGGTGAGTTCTTGCTGCAAGTTGTCCTCGATGAGCGCCTAATCATTCGAAGAGCAGTATATCAATCAGGTTTCATTATTTGAGCAATATTGGCATGCGCAGGCTACTGGGACTTGAACAGACAAATTTAGTACTAGTGTGTAACAATGTGTAGGAACAACACCGGCGTGAAAGTAGATGCTCGTGTAGATTGGAAAAGAGGCGACAATGGACGAGAGAACTTTCATTAAAACTATTCATTTAATAGCTCAGTAGTACCAATCAATTATGGAGAAAAGGCAATAATGAGGTGGAAGAGAGCAGTCACTAGGAGGTATACCGTACGGAGTACATCCAGATATGGAAATGCCCTAGTTAACTCCGCTTATGTCCGTAATTACTAATCCGATCTCCGAATGACACTCCACTTTTCACTGATTATCGTAGATCCTATCTCAACCTCACTTAAGAACTGTACAAGCACACAATCACAATAACATAAAATGGCAAGCCCCCTTCCTCTCCCATATTCAACCCATTTCCAGCTAATTAAACACCAGTCTCAACCACAATCCCTCCCGACAAATTCCGCCCTAACTCTCTCCCTCCTCACCTCCCTCGGCGGCGTAATCGGCTACGCCCGCACAGGCTCCATTCCCTCCATCGCAGCAGGCCTCTCCGTTGGTGCGCTCTACATGTACAGTTACTCGCGACTGCGGAACGGCGAGACTCTCGGTGAGGAACTTAGTCTGTTGGCATCGGTTGTGTTGGGTGGTAGCTCGGTGCCCAGGGCCATTAAGACGGGGGGTAAGATGGTGCCGGTTGGGTTGAGTATTTTAGCGACTTATGGTGTGGTGGTTTTTGGAAAGGAGGTTTTGGGCAAGAGGGCTTGATTGGTTGATCGGCTGTGGTTGGAAATGTGTACGGTCGAGCATCAAGTGATAAGTGTAATGGGACCATAACCACAAATACAAAATATGACTTGTTCTACCTGAGCTTTATCCAATGACTACCAAGCAGGTACGGCTTCAATAAAGTAAACATCATATAGTTCTGTCGTAATATAATTGCGCCCTAGAGTCGATCATAGTTTGCTCAAAGTTCTGATCATATACATTGGATTTCTTGGTTTTGTAGAGTGGCACGGTTCAGAAAGTCGCATTCTCTACCAATCGAAGTTTAGTAATGACAAGGCCAGGAAACCAGACAGCTTACATCTTATATGCCTGACGAATCTGGACCACCTGTGGTGGTATGATGGGACACATCGATATCAAACTGTGGGAACTGGAGAAATGGTATCGTTTTGCGACTTATATTGCAAACCTAGCACTGTTTCTGACTTTTACCGAGTTAGCAATGATGAAGGCTGTTGAACATTGGCACTACTCATCATGCATCTTAAAACCAACGCAACGCAGGAAAGATTAGTCACAAAAGATCATGAATTGGCGCTCACGTCGAGGTATACTGGCCAAGACCAACAAGTAGTCGACATATGTATCGACCGACGGATGCCAGATGGTAGACTCTTTTTCTAATTTGTGAGGGGCGGACGAGCTTATACCGTTCATCTACCTAGACTACTGTCACCTCTTAAGAACTATCTGTCTACTTTCATCAAATCCTCGTCATTTGCATTTGATACCCTTCACCTTTTCACTTTGGAGTTGGGACAACAGGATGGCGAGTTTGTGTGAGGTACGAAAGCATGATGAGTGTACTAGAACGCGTCTTTCACTTTATTTATCAAACATAAACATGGTCGTAATCATGCACAGCATGACAGACATGAAGAACGACATGAGATTGATTCCAGCCATTTCACCTTGCGCATCTGCAATTGAGGCTATATGATCTACTCTACAAAACCCGGTCGTATACTGTGCGCCGTTCAGAGTGAGTAATCATACAGCCCCCTGCTGCAGATGTGCAAAATAAAAAGATATTACGACCAATCTCATGTCAGTAAATACTCGTGAGCAGCATCATCTGGAATGATGCTGTCGATCTGTATAGTCATGCTCTCCAGATTCTGAATCCTCTTCATCATTGTCATCTGCATCATGCCCCCTAAACCCATCTGTCTCCTCAATCCAGAATGTCGGCACCGCCGTCAAAGCAGCCATAACAGTCAACGTCCACCAAGGAATAATAACATACCCCCTTTTCACCCCAAACGAAAACGTGGCTCCCGCAACAGCCGGCCCCACAGCCCTCCCCAACGCACTAACACTCGTCCCGACCCCATTCAGCGTCCCCAGAATATTCAAGCTAGACGCAGAATTCGTAAGCAAGATCGTGCAGCACGGAAAGCTGAAAATCGACGCGGACAGTTTCGTAAGCATAAGCAGGAATACGACGTAATTACGGAATGCGGATGGGACGAGCGCTGTGAAAGGCGTAACAAAGTAGACGATCGGGAATATTAAGTAGACGAGTTTTGTGATGTTGAGGACGCCGTATCTTTTTGCGATGGTGGGGAAGAAGAAGAACTGCACAAACATACCGAAGATGCCGATTAGGGTGTAGAAGAGGCCGATTGTTTGGGAGTCGACGCCGAATCCGCCGATGAATTTGAATGGTAATTGGACATCTGGGTTTCCGTCCAATTCCTGCTCGGGAAAATGTAGGAATACTGGTAGCAGTGAGTCAAAGGCCATGTTGTGCATTGCCAGCATGCCGTAGGCCATCAAAACAAGAACAGATTGCGTGGAGAAGACCTCGCGCCAGCTTGTTCGCCCAGCGGGCTTCTGTTTTGGTTGTCTGTCCGTCTGGCCATTGTCACCGTCTTCACCAAGGAGCGCCGTTCGCTCGTCATCCCCGGCCTCCGAGTTGACGGTCTTTCTGCGCGAAGTGCATGGGCGCGTCAACACCTGGCCCACTAAGAGACCATAGTCACGCTTATCCCGCCTTGATTGCAGAGTTTCCCGCAAAAACAAAAACCCCGTCGCAATCCCAACAACAAAAAGACACGCCGACGCCAAATTCGGCAAGAGGAACGGATATTTCTCCCAAAACTCCGACCCCCCAAAAATGCTCGGATGTTTCTCCGCCGGCCTCGCCAAAGACCCCCCAAACGCTGGCCCAAAGATCGTCCCTATCGTCCACACAAGTGGCATAACACTAAACGCCCGAGGTTGCAATTCCTTTTCCGGAACCATTTCCGCAACCATCGTTCGGATAATTCCGACGTTTCCGTTCATCAGGCCCAGCAACGCACGGGCCCATAATAATGTGGCCATGTTCTGCGAGAAACCAAATACCAGCGAGAATATCATTGTGAACATGAGACCGGTGAGGATAGTGGGTTTTCGGCCGATGTAGTCAGAAGCTGTGCCCCAGGGGACGGCCATGGCGCATTGGCTGATGGCGCTGACGGCGGAGGTGATGCCTACCCATTTTGCGATTTCGTTTTTGGGGATGCCCATGTGTTCGACCATCTCAGGCTGCGATTGTCAGTGGGAATCAATAAATGGGGACAACAAAACATACAAGATACGGCAGGACCGAAGTCAGGACAACAGGCTCCGCGAAACGACATATTGCTATAACCCTATTAGTTTCATGAGAAGAAGCAAAGGAGTAATAATGTAGACTTACAGAGAACGATAAGCTGCTGAACGGGCAGCTTCGGCCGTTTTTGCAACATTTTCGGTTAATCCTGTCGGAGCCGAAGAAGAGAAATATTTCAAGCCGGCATGGAGAACACAACTAAACCAATGTAGGCCGGATAGGACCACAAACTTTCACGGGTATGCGCTTAAGAGAGAGAGAAAAGAGAAAAAGATGAAACTATTTAGGAGCGCTCGAGTCAACGCAAGGGTTTGTCAGCAGGCAGTCAGTCGGAGTTACAGCGGAGAAGAGCGATAACTCTTTTGGTGGGCAAGAATGGTGGATTCACCAAATGGTTTAGATCTGATTGATTGTCATTCCTCCCAGTCTTTCCAAACAGCGATATCAGAGCCGGAGGTAACCGGACATTTATCTTAAGCTTCACGAATACAGGGTGTTGACGTTAGTCTTGTTGCCGACATCATCAATAGAACAGTCCTTATCCAATTACCCGTGGCCCTTCTATTCATCCAGAGCAAATTCATTGCATTGCATTGCAGCGTGAAGCAAGATAATGCAGTTCTACCGGGAATGTCACCTCGTCCGCCGATCAACCAAGTGTGAGATATAGCTGAACATCTTCAGGTTAAGAGCGATACATAGCTGAGGATGATGTGGCATAAAACAGACGTTTTTTTTCGCTATATACATAACAAACGCTCTTTGCCAATTTATCTATATTCTAAGAATGACTGGACGCCTTTTTGCTTGTCCGTCCGAAAAACCTAAAGACCTTCCTGGATGGAACCGAAGGACTCTCTTGCCGGCGGGAACCGTGATTCTCAATGAGTTTTTCCACTGTTGAACTTGGACAGTCACCCATTATTTGAGAGCTTTGAGTTGCGGCGTTGACGTTCTTAGCTGAGACCGTATTCTGCGTGGTAGATATAACAATCTGAAGGGATTGGTCTTGAGAAGAAATATTTTCAAACCTGTGGGCCCTTTCTTGCTGCGCTTCCTCATGTTTCGCCTCCAGGATTGTTCTGCAGTGATCAAGCCAACATCTTCGCTCTTCCAACTGCTGCTGTTGCTGTCGGACCAGCTCCTGCTCTTTCACCTCCAGGAGCCTGGTCTCGCTGCTGGAGAGGAATGACTGAACACGCTGAAGATCCTCGTCTGTCTTCTGCTGTATCTTGCGAGCTGCGATGCTTTTCTTTCGCCTGCGCGTTGCTTCGCCAAGGGATTCCCGTCGAACTCGGTCGATGCTGCTTCCAGCTTTCTGACAAGCCTGGATACACTGAATAATTGCATCTTCCAGCTCCTTGATTTGTCCTTGGTCCTCTAGTTCCATCGGAGATCGTTGGCCAACATTCTGAAGCTGGGCCGAAAGACGAGTCATCGTTTCGGAAATCGCGCTCTGGTAGTCTGCTAGTTGACGCAGGTTCATTTGCGCCAAGTCACTGATTGAAGTTATTAGCGTTGTTCCAAATGATATACTCTTGGGGGAAATGAGCTAACATGCTTATACTAGTGATGATAATGGTGATTGTGCTCTTGTACCCTGCTAGGGTCTCTTTGAATTCGTCGATGTCGCCCCCAAGGAATTTCATTCTCATCCAATCATGGAAATTCGGCTGACGCCCTCCCGAATGCGATGTGCATTTGTTGATCACGTCTTGAAGTCCCGAACAGGTCATGCCACACGCCTTCAGGATAGGGTCGAGTTCTGCACGGACTTTGTCATCACAAGTGATGTTTTGGACATGCCCCAGGGCCATCATAAGACCATGTAGCTCTGTTTGGAGATTTTTGACGCTATCGGGGTAGCCGTGGAAGCTTTTGATCAGGTCATTAAGAGCCTTGGCTGATTGGAAAGCGAAAGTTCCAAGGCCAACAGAAGCGCTTATAACACTCAATGGATCAGTCATCTTCGAAAGATAGTTAAAAAGGAAAATTAAGCTCTGAGGTTACACAACATCCTCAGCAATCATCCCGGGATTTAAATATCTAACTATACATTATCGCTGGGTTCTATTCATAAATAGAAACACTTCGGCGCTTGTCAAAACTCTACATTGCTTTCTCTGTAGTAGCGCGCGCGTATAGTATATTGGCAATCTCCCCGCTTCCAGAGGATTGCCCTTTTATCAGATTGGGCCAGCAAAGGCAGAAAAGACAATAGTTTGTTTCAAGTGAGACGCTATTCCTGGTGATACTCCATACAAGCGGGTAAATGCAACTTCGGTCGGCCTGCTTGCCGCAGTCATATATCTTGGCGTTCTCCGCAATGCAGGAGGTAGCTTTTGTTTTCTTTTCGTCCTATTCTTGATCTCCTCTGCTCTCTCCACTCCTACATTATCTTCTCTTTACGATAGCCAGCTGTCACCATGGAAAAAGCGCCTCCACTTACATCTGACTTGGTGACTCTGGCTGCATTTGCCCATCAGGCAAGCCAATCGCTTCATCAGACTATCGAAAGCTCCCGGTCCGAAAAGCGAGACGTCTCTGAGTCGTGGTATGGCTTCAAGTCTCTCAGTCTGATCCTAGAAGCTTTTTGGCAGGTAGCCGCGGAAAACCAAGCCGGATTCATCGCATTAAAGCTACCTCTCTTGCAGTGCGGGAAGATCTGCACAAAATTCGCAGAAGCTATCAGTAAATGTATGATTCATTCTAATGGGGAGAAAACAAGATTCCGGGAAGGGGCGATTGCAACTTGGAGGACCACCTTGGCTGCATACAAGCTGGTAATGAGTATCGCTCTTGGTGACGCAACTTTGTAAGACTCCAATACCCAGGAATATTTCACTTGCTGACCACGCTTGACAGCCGTGAAGCTGCCGTGGCTACCGGTGTTCTCGACGACTATAAGCGGCTGGTCGCGGATGCGATGTCTGGCCTCCAGAAACACTCAAAACTCATGTATGGAAGGCCGCAATCTCTACTTGAATTTGAGTTCAGCAATGGAAGAGATGTCGACAAAACGAGCAATATAAGGGAAGAGGATGAAAGCCTAAAGCAATGCGTTACGATCTGTGGCAATGTTTTTAATTCAGTTGACAACAACCGATCGCAGAAATACAGTGCTGGCGAAAAACAATTCTCGAGTCCAGGACTGAGAGATGTTGATAATGCCGTGACAGTCACCAAGGAGATGCTTGTGGAATTCCAAGATAGGCTCTCCGAGTACTCGACAATTCTTGACTCCCTTCCGATGGAATTGGATGAGAAACCGCAGACCTTACCATGGCAAGGAGCAGAACATATGAAATCAGACGATGCTGAGCCTAATGACACAAGGGAAGACAGTGACAGTGACACGCCGCACCCTGCAAAAACAGCCCGGAAAAACACCTTCGAGGACATCACTTCCGCTGATAATTCACATCAACTAATCGTTTCGACAATTGGAGACCAAATATTGGCCAGACGTATCTTCACTGGAGCCATGTCTATGCAGTGGTTGGGACAGATGTCCGATGATACACTTCAGAGACTTTCCAAGGACCGCAGCAGCCGTGTCGACGAGAAGGTGTCACAAGTACAAACAGGACAAGATAAATTTGATCAATATGGCGTCGGGCGCGATCTTCGCGGGAGAAAGCTAGAAGTGGGACGGGGCCCTTGTTAGGAAGGTACAACTGCACTGCTATTATGAGTCTAGCATTATGCTCTTCGAGCTAAGATCATAATTCTGCAATCTCTGAAGAGTCATGCAATGCCATGTCGCCCTCAAACCCAGGAATTGCCTGAATTACCTGAATAATATCGGCTTTGGCACTCATTCCTCTTACATTCGCTGTCACCTTACTTTTACTGCCCATGAGCCCTCCAATGCCTTCGCAATCTTTTACTTATTGTTTCAAGTTTGTGGCCTCTCTTTAACATTGTTCTCTCCTTGCTATCTCCAGATTGTTTTTGTTCGTCTCTTTTGTTGATTTGCTGCTGCAACTGTCGCATTTCTGTAGCTTGGTTGTCTAATTTTCATGGTCACGTTTATCATTGCAGTTGAACTGTTTGCCGAGGACTTGACCTTGCTGACGCAGGCTCGCTCGCTGCATACAGCAACTTGACGTTGAGTTGATGTCTACTAGGTGGGGATGTATATGAGTAGACTCGTAATGATTTGCTTGCTCTCTAGCCATTGTCTTATTTCTCTATCTATATATTTGTCTGTGCTCAGCTGTGCTCTCATCTGTCATGAGTTAACCTGTCAATTGTCGATAGTTTTCCCCTGTTCCTTAGTATAGGCATTGATAAGGCGTTTTGTACCTCATCTCGCGTGGTGACATTATCAGCAATTTCAGTCAGCATGAGAGCCTCATCCGTACCCAATGCAAATTACCAACAATGTCGCCAAAATTGCTAGTGTGTGAAGTGTGGATCTCATGGTCATTGGATGAAGGGTTGCCATAAAAACCAGCCAGGTCAGCCATGTAACGACTAGTGACTAACCAACAAATGATCGATATGAGCAAACAGGTCAACATGGACAGACCGCGGAGCCTACGTTCTGTCACCGTAGATTCAGTAGATGGCTTGCTTTGCCCTGCCTTCATAAATAGCATGGTAGATTGTCAGGGCCATTAGGGGTGCACTAGCTTCACAGTTCACTATTCGCCGCATGCGAATGCTCCTGTGTTCCTGTGGAATCGCTGAAATCCTCCATGGGATGCGTGGTTGCTCTAACGGCTACTGCATATACAAAAAACCAAAGTAATTGATTGATGCTATTCCCACCTAATCATAACCAAAATCCCAAGTGACCAAGAGACTGGACGCGAGGGTTGTATGCATGTCATAAGTCCATCGTTTGACCCGTTCCAAATTCACATCAAGAACCATTTGGGTGCTCTACTGCAGCAGCTCGGTGGCGGCCTGGATCCGCGTCTCAATGATGAAGCTCCATTTCTGCAGATCTCCGTTAGCAACTTCCCAAATCAACACAAATACAAAGGAAAGACACTCACCTTCGCGTTGGCCACATCTCCCGCCTCCAAGCTTTCGGTCAAACTAGGATACGTCGAGCCCGAATATCCAGTCCAAAGACCAGGCGCGAACACAACATGCTTGTACCAGCTCCGTCCATCAAGTCCCGGTTGATACAGGAATTGATGTTCGATCTCTCTGTACTTGTTGTTCACAGCGCGGATCTGCAAGAACAACTGTACCTTCTTCCACAACAGATACCAGGGGAGATCCTCACCAATTTTGGAAGACAGCTCTTCAGCGTACGCGTCAAATGCGGCGGCAATGGCCTGGAATTGTACGATGGCACTGTCCAGTGGCTCGAAGTCAAAGTCTACACCAACTGGCAGATTTTTTGCAGTCTTCTTGGCCGCTTCAAGATATGTCTGCAAGCCGAGCGAGTATTCCTTAGCGTTGAGGGAAAGCACAGGAGTTTCGACAATCTTGGCAGCAGAAAGTGCCCACAGCTTGGTGGCAGCTTCGTGATAGAGCCAGTCAGAGTCTCCAAAGCGGTCCATCCAGTCGAAACTGTCGTAGTCGGAATGATAGTGATAAACCGGGTCATTTGGTCCACGACCGAAACCCAGATCATAACTGGCAACACCAGCAAAGTCCTGGAAGGCAGTGAAGTCACTTCCACTACCCATAGTCGCAATCTTACCATCCCAGACGTCTCGAATAGTCTGGCCTTCAACAGTCTGGTTGGGCGACTGGACCAGTCCAGTGACTTCGTAGATGACATCGTTCAAGAGTGGGCTTGCCCGTGGAGAGAAGTCAGTACCACTAGCAGCAACGTCCACGTTGAGGTATGCGACATTCGTCTTCGAGAGCCAGGAAAGCTTGTCTTCCACCCATTCGGTGGAGCCCAGCAGTCCGTACTCTTCACCATCCCAGCTGGCAAAGACAATCGTCCGCAGAGGCCTCCATCCTGCCTTAAGGGCCTCGCCAAAGCTGCGGACCACCTCGTTGAGGACGGCAGAGCCACTGTTTGGATCTCCAGCTCCGCCTGCAATCCAAGCATCACGGTGGTTGCCTAGAACAACGACCTCATCCGGAATAATGCCCTTGATAGTACCGATAACGTTCCACAACGGAGTCGTCACGTATTCCTGTTGGTTGTAAAGATTGATGACTACGTCTTCCGGAGTAGGCCCAATGTTGTATTCGACGCCCTTGTAACCGAGTCTACCACCCTGCCACCATTGGTTGAAGTCCGATGCCTTAGGGCCGTGACCATTGAGAGCCTTCAGGAGAGGCAGCACTTCCTTATAAGAGACTGGGAGGGAGGGAATCGATGGAATAAAATCATGTGGGTCTTGACGCTCACAGCCAGGCTTGGATGGGTACCCAGGCGTGGTTGGATCACCAGGAGCAAAGCCTTCATATCAGACAGTATTGTTAGATTGGACAGTTCTACCACGAGGGGCTCTGGTGCACTTACTTAAGAATTGCGTACTTCCTCTTTGCACGGCACTGGGATTCCGGGCGGGACCCTCAGGGTACGCCTTGTAGCCATTTTCCTCGGTGATTTCGCCATCCCCCTGCGGGTCGTCGTACATAATCACACCGACGATACCGAGCTCCTGCGCCCGCTTCACCTTCAACCCACGGAAAATGCGACCATACTTGACAATCGCAATCTTGCCTTCAAGGTCGACGTTTGCCTTGACAAGGTCTTCAAAATCGTCGAACGTGCCAAAATTGGCATAAACAAACGGAGCAGTAACATTCCCGCTAGCCGAGTAACCGTGAAAAGTAGGTACACGATCGGGGAGACCGCTTGTGTGGTCCTCCTCAAGTACGTCTTCCTCCAACGACGCCTCGAAGGTGACCTCAGTGGAGCCAGTCTCAGTCTTCTTGAGAAGCGCCAAGCGATGGTCCACAGGATAATTGAGGTAGGTCTCGTAGGTATCAATGATGGTATCCTCGACACCAAATTCCTGCCATTTCTCGCGAGTCCAGAGCGCCTGGCTCAGGTTTTTGCCAGCGAGGTGAGGGCCTGCTGTGTAGTACGAACTCCATTCACGTGCCATGGCGGCAGACGGGGTGCTTGTGAGAACAGCCTGCAGCTGTTCGTAGGAAAGACCGTAACCCTGAGGCCATGATGAGTGTGGAATTGAGCGCGAACCAGGAATATAGGACCAAAAGGAATCCGGGGCCAGAAATAAAACGAGGGCGATGGAAAGGAGCAAGCCGAGGATACGACGGAAAGTATTGTGGGGATATTGTTGTCGTTGCGGAGCGACATGGACAAGAAGGAGGGGCGAGGGCTCCAAAGGAGCCATATTCTTTTCCTTCATCTTGCAAAATAAATTTACAGCAATTTCACTCCAATCTAGAAACGAATGGCTTGGAAATCGCACTGCATGAATGAAGTTGAAGGAGGAGAGAGCTGGCGGAGCTGAGAGAGTTGGAGATGCGGAGAGCTGATGTGATCGGGCCTTATCAATCGTTATCGCTGCCTGTCCGTGCTCAACGGAATATTCCGTAACAGAGTGTACATTTTAGGAAGCTGGGATTGCTTCAATTCCTTTAATTTTTCTCTATCTGTTCAATTGGCTGTAGATACCCTGGGATTCGAATGCAACTATATATACTTGATTAAAAGCAGGTCCGCCGGATACAAAACAGAAAGAATCCTCCCAGTGTAGATATCAAACAGATGGACCACGGAAATAACGTAAAATGGGGTATATATGCTCAACAACAACAATCAATGCTTTTCAGGCGGTTGCTTTCTCCTTATCCTCATCCAGTTCAGGGACCGGCACGACATCGTTTAATTGCGCGTTCAACTTCTCGCCAATACTGATGCTATCACGTAGGATTTGTCGAGCGGTTTGGTCGTCGTCGACGTTCATGTCTTCCTTGACGAATCGAACAGCCAGTTCGGGGACGAGAACTGCTTGTGCGTAACCAGCAACACCAGCTGTCTTGACGATGTGATCAGCGGCTGCGAGGCGGCGTAACTGAGGAGCGAAATGTGTGGTCACAGCTTGCAACCTGTCCATCATCTTAGCCATCTTCTGAAAGAAATTGTTGCGAACGGAGAACAGTACATTTTACCAGATCCTCGTGTCCCATAGTAACCGCACGAGATATCCTCCAACCCACCACCGGACAAAGTAAGCCGGAAATTCTTCGCTTTTCCTGATTTCATAGCACTGTCGAGAAGATTCCTATAAAACGACGAGCACTCGGGAACCATAAGTTTCGCCAGATCATCGTAATGACTACGGATTCGTTCATCAAATGTATCCCAGTCAATAGTCGGATATCCTTTGCTCTTCCATTCCATTTCGGCCGAGGACACCTGGTGTGATTCACAGAATACCATCTGATCGCGGAAACGCTGCTTAGGTTGCGCCTCAAATCTCATAAGAGCGTCGGGATCGACTTCTTCTTTGCACATAGGGCATAAAGCCTTCCTTGGTTGCGCAATTCCCTCGTCTGCCTGCGAAAACTCAAAATTGAATGCTGACGATGGAGGTGACGGGGTGTTGATCGGAGAACTAAGCGGTGACGCATCATCCTGTGACAGTAAATCCAGAACCTCTGCAAACTGAGGATCTTTATCCGAATAGATGCCGTTGGGCGAAGCAGGCGAGCTCTTAAACTCGGAACTCTTTTCATTCATACGAGTCTTAGACGGTGGGCTAGACATGTCGATTTCCCTCGGCATTTGGAAGCTGCTTTTTTGCTTTTTTCCCTTCCTCTCCTGTGGAGAATTTTTCCCGTATGCTTTGTTGTTTTTTTGCGGTCTCGATATCGACTTGCTGTCTTGAGAGGAAGGCACACTGGAGGCTGAAAGTCTGCTCTGGCTCGAAAATTGTGCCCCCTTCCGCCTCTTGCTGTGCTGTGAAGAACCCCACATTTCGATTAAGTTATCCCGGTCATCCATAGCACTCGAAGTCCTTGCCCGGCTCTTTTCCTGAGAGCTCGCTACCTCCAGTTTATCATCCCCGTCCTGCTTCGACACCGATACCCTCCCGCTTCGCCGCCCAAAGGCACTACTTTCTGCGAGTTTATCCTCCAGACTTTGCATCCCCGGAGCCTTCAATTCTCTATCTTCCTCGAGATCGGATATGTCGGCGACATTATGATCGCCTGCTTCCACTTCGTCGTCGCTGGAGCTAATCGGCGCATCGTCGATACCGGGTTCGGGTCTCTCTGGCTTGGGTGATTTGCTGGGTTCGTTTGATTCTTTATTGAACGTTGACAAGAGATGCTTGCCCGAAAAATTCCTTGTCGTGAGGTAGTTTCTTGAAAAGCTTGGATCTGGTCTCGTTCGGGTCCCCATGGTGAATTGTGGTGGCCGCGGGAACACTACTGCAATAAAACTGGTATACCGACGGTTCGAGGGGATAATTAATTGCTCAATGACAGCTAACGGCCCTAGTTTCCGGTCGCGGAGAGGTAGTTCGGTCGTAGTACTGCCGTTGCGTGCTTTTGTCAGGGTCACCGCACGGTTCTAAGTAGCTTGATAATAATCAGTACTTGACGTTGGCTACCAAAAAGAAGCAGAACGAACTAGGAATTTTGATCGGCCAAGTTCTTTAGACGACGCTCAGTCAGCCCCTAATCAGGCGTTCAGGCGTGACTTGTGCAGGGCTGACTTGTGGGAGGGGCGAGGGAGAGCGAGGGAGAACGCGCGTGACACGCGAACTAGGCGTTTCTCCGCAGCGGCAGATTAGATCCGACAGCTCAACGAGCGATATTGTGATTTAGTCAGTTAAGATGAGGAAATGGAAACATCATTTCGGTTTAGCTTGTAATTTCGAAGGTGAGGGGGCGGCAGTTGGGATACTGATTGAATACTAGTTGATGACTAGTTAGTAGGCCGGAGTATGCGACAACACCATGTATGGAGGATTTCGAAAATATGAAATAATACAGTACAATTGGCGTGATAATAATGAGTGCTAGCACCTTGCTTAAAACGTACATCAAACAAACATAACCCAACAACACCATAGAAAACCTTGTGCCTTATATAACAGATGTATACCTTGAAATGTAAAACTTTCACTCAAAGCTCAATTCCATATCACCTTCTTCGCCACCCCCAAAGTCATGCTCTGCCCAAGCATTAGGTTCCATAGCTAACGCACCCAGAGCACTGGCACCAACACCGGCACCAACGCCAACCGGCATCGTCGCGGAGGATCGCAGTTCCGGTCTCGTAGGACAAGGATCATGGCTGGGTGGTTCGAATGCAGAGTGCGAACGTTGTGGTATATCTTCGTTGTATGAAGTATCAAAAGTCATTTCGATCCCTTCTTCCTCGTGTGGACCAGAGAGCAAATCGGGGGTTAGTGATTTATGATCAGAACTTGGTGCAGGCATGGGCTGCGTTGTGCCTGCATTTGGCGTTTCTTTTTCTTTCTGTTTTGCATCGGAGGATGACGGCGTGGTGGGAGGTTGTCCGTTTGGAGAATTCAAATCCAACTTCATTGGAGGAAGGGTTGACTCCAGCTGCTTAACTTCGATGGCCTCCGAAGCCAGTTCGGCTTTGATAGCGTCAATGTCAAACAAAACTGACCCGGTACCGGCGCTGTCGGTCGAGCTACGCGATATGGACTTGTTGCGCTCGACGTCGTATGTCTCCCACCCCTTCTTTTGCGCCAGTTTCCCTCGCTTGAACAGACCAAATCGCTTCTTCTCTGGTTTCATCTCTGCCTCTTTACGGGCTTCGTCGATCTCTCGGATCAACTCCCGCTGCCGCTCTCCATGGCTTTCCGGATCAGGGTCTTCGATTTCAGCAAATTCCTCGCTCAACACTTCCCATCCAACCTCTTTCAATAACCGAGGCATTGCTGTACGATAATCCATATGCCCATTGACCAACTGGGTCACATCGCGATTCTCTAGTCCAGGAATTCCTTCAATTGGTGCAAGACCTGCAACACGCATGATTCCACCACTCGTCGCACGGAATAGATAACCCAAGATCCAGTCGTTAGAAGCGTAGCCGTTGACGAAACGCCCAGAGACCACGCTGCGAGCTTTGATGTATTCATCCTTGTTTGCCACATTTGGTGATCCGAACATGTAGACGTTTTCGACAAGCCCTTGGGCCCCCCTATCTGCGAGTTCCTTCAGGCATGAGAATATGACCCTCGACCCAAGTGAATACCCAAGCAAGGTCACAGGCCTTTTACCCAGGTTGCGGTCTATTAGGGAATCGGCCATAATAAGGCCAGCTGCGTTCGCACGGGCCAAGGAAACGTTCCATGGGTTATCTATCAGATAAGACAATTTTGTAAGAACAAGAGGTAGTTGCAATGATGCCATAAGAGCTACCAGAACAGTGCTTCCGAGAACATGTTGAAGACCTTGGGTCAACGCCTATTACATTGTCAACGATCCGCGCGTGTCAACGAATAACACATAGACATGGAACTTACCTCAGTGGCCAGAATGTTGATGGTTTGACCCATGCTTTGCAACATTTCAGGTTCCCATAAAACGGAATACATATCGCCCATAATAGGGTCAACAGTACTGTAGGGCAATCGTACATCATCTACCTTGCCAGTCATCCAACCAGACACCGTAATAATGAGATTGACTCGTTTGTTATTGTGCAGCGGTCGATATTCGAACGTCCGAACAGCACCGGTTCGGCGATGTGAAGCCCTCAGTCCGATTGTGCCTCCGGTTAATGTAGCACCAGACGCGATCAGAGCCGTACCACCTGCTCCTCCCAGGAAAGCACTAGTACCTGTAATCCCGACTGTGGTAAAGCCAGCAGCAAGACCAGCGCCTATTACTGGCGCCAGCAACCCAGCCGAGAGACCAATAACCAGTCCACCTCCTACAGTAGCCAGACCCATGACCATGTATCTGCGCTTCAAGGCAGACTTCCGACGTTTTTCCATATGGTCTGATTCGTCCCATGTCTCCTGGTTATTTTCCGCCTCCTGCATTTCAAGAGCATCCATCACTCGTTTCTCGAACTTGGTGATCTGAAGCCATGGTACCTCCATAGCTCGACCGACCCTCTCAAGCAAGCTTCGGGATCTGGCATCATAGGCTGAATCGGCGATCAAAACCAAGAAGAGATCGCAAAGAACCGTCCATCGGAGGTCGATATCGATCTTGGCCGATGTTGGCATATCGGATGGAGATTGAACCTCTGGGGGGTCATCTTCTCCTTGGGCCGTCTCATACGGTGGTGGAGGGGACGTCAACGTGGAATCTCGATTTAATTCAGTCGAGATACTACCTTGATGGCTGTCTTTATCGCCGGAAGAGGAAGCGGAGGACGTAGACTCGCGTGGGGGACCATCTTCCTCTGCCATGGGGTTCTTGACTCGCGCATTTTGCATCAAAGGCGGTACAAGATCCAATGGTTGCACGCCGTGTTGGGCCAACTGCTCAATCATAATTTGCTCTGCAGCATCGATTTCCATATGCGCATAAAGCCGTGCCATCGTTGCTTGTCCCCACATCTTCGTGGCGTCCCTACCCTTCTGTAGTGCTTTCTTGGCGCTTTTAGTTGTGGGTATCTTCTCCTGATCTAATGACATTTCATGTATGGATAGCCTGGTTACCCCGACATATGCTATCCTTTGGCCCTCAGTCAGGATGTCTTTCGTGGCCTGAAGTTGACTGTCGGGATCACGCAGTTCTTCCCCTTCTACACCGGCTGAGTTGCCTGCTGCTTCTTTGAACAGGTAGCTTGTGTCTTCGTCCAAGCTTGTCGCTGACTGTGCATCCTCGTCGAGCTGGACGCGAGTGTAGCCCTTGCCAGCGCCACTATAACCTTGCTGTGCATATTCTTCTTCCTCCTGTCTCTTGGCTCCACGAGCAAGCAGCCGACCAAAATCATCGTACTCGTCGAACTCCCCAAGAGCAGGCATTTCCTTCCATTCGTTGTCACTTTCTTCCTCGCTCTCATCGTCGTCCGATTCTTGGCCTGCGGTCAATCGCTGATGTGACCATTCGGAAGCCTTGAGATTCGGTCGTTTTTCACGTTGGCCTTCAGGTTTAGGAACAACGGCACTTTCAGCGTTGGGCGTGGCATTTTCATCTTGGAGACCTTGCGTAGGTGCGCTAGGAGTAACCGGTTTCTCATTTTCCGGTGAAGCAACAGGGGTTTTCTCGGAGAATTCCTTATTGTCCGATACTGGCGCTTGTGCAGGCAATTGTGTTGCTTGACTCTCTGGAGTACCCTGTGCTAAGTCATCAGAGGCCTCGGGTTTACACGTAGTAGCTTCGCGCTCTTTCTCCGGCTCGTCTGGTTGTTCTGATTTCTCCGCAGCTTTTTGCCCCTCTTGACTTTTCAGGGAGGTGTCTTCCACATCGTGAAATATCTCATGATCATCCGAGGCTTCACTTTCGGGCTGCAGTGGTGGTCGAGGACGCGCTCGAATCGGAAGCCCAAAGTCATCTACCTCGTCCTGCTGCTCCGTTGCATCCCGTCCACCCTGCTCTGCAACCGACTTATGTTCCGGTATCCCACCCCGCGGGTTCACATTCTCCTTCTCATTATCGAAATTACTTCCCAGCAATTGCCCATCGTCCCTTGGCGAATCTCCAGACTGAGCAGTCAAATCGACGGTCCGATCAGTTGCAGCGTTCGAGGTAGAGGTCATTATTCATGAGCGTAGCGGACGTAAAAGAACGCATGCGATTTTCAAGCGAACAATATATTTCTTTCCCTGTCTACCTCCGGGTACGGTCCGTAGCTGACCATCCGTGCAAGTGTACACAGTTCGGATGGTATCCGTGCTTTTTTCTTCCGGTACGAGCTATGACGGGCTCCGTCTGTACCTGACCGTGCAGTCCTTGATCGCAATCATCGGACAGCCTGGGCGATATCTCCGGAGGATAGAACTGTCGGCCACGCGGCCTCGTCTCTGGAAAAGGGGGGACGAAGGGAAGGGGAAGGGGCCTTAGACCACCAGAAGGCAGAAAAATAGCCGAGATCTAGGACATTCAGGGAGTTATTTTAGTCTAATAATCAATGGAGAAGGGACAGTATCTGCCCTTCCAAGAGGTTTTTCTTTTGTTTCTTAGAACGTACCCCAACAGCCTGGTTGAAAGTATAGTAGTGGTTGTCTGCGACCGGGAGGCGTTGGTTCAGTTCGGCACCGCAAGCAGCGAGAATCGCCTGTCACGTCAATCGCGGAGATACAGCGTCTACTCCGAGTACAACAAGGAGACGGTAGGGCTGTTCTGATCTACGCAAGGTACCTCCGGCGGTTTAAGGAGTCAATGGGCTTGCAACGGATTAATTCATTAAGAATCTATACCCATGAAGTATACAAGGCTTTGTCCCATCATTTGTCTGAATCTGATACGCTTCAAAGCAACGCGGGGAAGGTTGTATTGTCGTTACAGTACGGTATTTATCCCTTTTGGGTCAAATTCAGACATCACTCAAATCTCTCTACTATACAAGTTGTTTCAGGGAGCAGGGGAAGAGCGACCCTGGAGTGAACCAGGGATGATCCAGGATGACCAAAAAGCAGCATCATGTTTACATGTTACCTTTTTCATAGGCAGGTCAGAGCATAGATCCAATCAGTCCCCCCATGGTACTAGAAATGAATCTGTGAATTCAAATGGCTCCATCTGATTCACCTCGCCAATTGAAAAGGGGGCCCACGTAGCCGTCGCTATGTTCATCGGGTCCAGCATGCTGGAATAGTCGAAGGAGCGAGGTGTTTGCGCTGGCGAACTGGCGAGAATGGAATGCAGGATAGGCATACCAGGTAACTGGGCCGAAGGCGGCGGTAGTTCAATGGTTCTCAAGTCGGCCCGTAGAGACTGATCGTACAAGTGTTGAAGAAAGGAAGATGTCTGGCTTAACTCGGTTATCGCCTCTGGCGACAGTCCCGAATTCAAATTTCCTGGTGTTGAAGCTATGTTGTCGGCAGTTGTTGGCTGGGGATTGAGAAGCTCTATAGCGGTTCCAACGAGTTTCATTGGGTTTAATGAAGTGGCAAGGTTCATCGATGACTGTGATGTAGAAGCGTCTTGCGGCCCTCTAACCCAGCAATTGTAGAGCAGCATTAGGGCACTTTGAAATACAAGGTGATACCCAGACGGCCACATTTGAGGCAAGAGGTGGTGACCACTTCCATTATGGAAGCAAGCGATAATCTGCGTTGCTGACTCCACGCAGACATCGAGGCTCTCGCTAAATTGTGGCTCCTCGGGGTCAAAGGTCAAGGCGGGGCGATGAATGAGGACGCTGGTGAACTGTGCCAGTAAGGAAAGCCATAGCGAGATGTATCCGGACATCTCTCCAAGGTCATTCTTTCCTATGTCTTCCATCAGGGCAATATCTGACTGGGAAGCCAGAACATTCTGCCCCCACACATCTAGCTCTCGCTGGAGACGCTGGATCTTTCCAATCGCACCACGTCGGTCCGTCGTTGTGTACATCTGCTGCAAACAGCGAGACAATAATTGAGAGAGTTGGATGTAGTGAATGAATGGCTCTACACGAGTTGTCTCCCCGGGAAGGGGATAGGACAGTTGCTCACAGTGCAGATCATCGAAATCAGCATTGATAGGTAGGTCGACGTCGACGTCAGCATGCTGAACGGTCCGTGGTAGACCGAACAATACACTTGATTGCCTGGCGTGATGTCAGTACCAGATACTATTAGAAGCGGGATGGATAGGCCCGTACACGTCAAGTATATACACACACCACCATAGCCGCTTACGCAGCTCTGTTTCACCCTGAACATGGCGAAAGCGTCTTGAATGACGATGAAGGCCAAGCGACTGGGCGAGCCTGACCGCCATCCCACAAATGCGCAAGCCTAAGGAATGCTGCGATGTGATCTGTAGGTAAAGCAGATAGAGTAAGAGTGCCTGGAGGGTCGTGAGATCACCGCGACTTGGCATTCGTCCAAAGAGGTCACTCAATATCCTGTCGTATTGTGACTGTGTCAAGGTGTGATGTAAGACATCTGAATCAGGACTATGATGGCTGGACGCATCAAGGGCGAGCAATGCATATGTTTGAAGTAAGAATGAGACGTCGGAAGACGCTCGTATACCCTGAAAAAGTTGGTCTAGAGCTGCGAAAAATTGCTTTGGCAGGAGGACCGGATACAGCGTACCCCAACAATGTTTGAACCGGTCAAATATGGACTTAAAAGAGGTAATATCTTGTTGAAAGAGGAAGTCATATTCGAAATCTGGAAAATTCAAAACCTGCGGGTCAGGCTCGCTCAGACGTATTCGAGCCCTCCCCTGACACACTCTCAGAACATGTAGACGAAACACACCTTCAGGAAAATGGCCAGAAGATTGGAAGCGTCTTTGATACTGCTGTTGGGCTGATAATATGAAATGCACGCCGGTCGTGGACCCTGCAAAGAATTCCGCATTACTGTCCCCAAGGACCAGCCGTCCTAGGTGCCCGACCACAGGATCTTGGGAGGAACATTTGTGGGATGATGGAACACTGTTTATATTTGAATGTAGATGTTTCAGGCGTTCTAGTTCCTCATTCTGGCGGGCGACGGTAGCCCGCAACTCCTCCGCCTGCGCCGATACACCGCGTACTTGATCGCGGGCCTTTTGCAGCTCATCCCTGAGCTGTTGGGTAGTTTCCCGTGTGGGCTCAACATACCTAATAGACGCTCAGTACTGCGAAATCAATAACAAGTTAGGGGAAAGAGTTAGGTACCCTCGAGGAGTGGTTTTTCGACGCAGCTGGGCCGATGTGGTGCATTCAACGCCTGCGCGGTCACACCTGCCACACTACTTTCCCAACCAGTCAGAACAGGATGTTCAGGTGGATAGTAGGAAATGTCTTACCTTCGGTTGTCGCCCGTCACATTTGACCCGTTTTCTAGGAAGTCAGTGTCGAGCAGTTCATCTTAGCGGTATTTTGCTTACAGCCTGCACCGGTCACTGTTCGAGGAAATTTTGATGATTAGCTCTGACAAAAAATAGCGAATGAGTCCCTACTTACCAAACCTGAACCATGATGCATCAAATATGCAGCCGTTGATATCCTCGGTATGAGATGACTAGATGACGTTTCTGTTGGAGTACGGGATAACCGCTTATTCCGGCCTTTTTTAGCCTGAGGTATTAAGTGGCCCTAAGGCATCCTACATCGGCAACGCTCCCACCCGTTGATCCGCTTGACCAAATGACTCGCCACGCTAGTGCCCATTGTCATTTTACAGTAGTCTTTTTTCCCCTTGTGTTTCGATCTGGTCGCGAACAGCTTTAACGGTCTCTGCTGTCTCCAGACCACTGACAACACGGCAACTCGAGGCATAGCGCTTGCTGTCATGGCTTTCTGGTAGTATGCTGCAAATTACTCTTCGTTCTGCTCGAATGAGTGATGATCATATGTGATATTCGACATAATAATCATTGTTTAAGCACAATATATTGCAAGAGGTAAGGAATAACTACACGGGTTGGGAATGTGTGCGAAGAAGCTGTACTAGTATCTTGAAGACATCAAGCCATGGCTGGAATAAGTACTAGCTACATTGACTCTCGATGCTTGACCATTCTTTTTCCTTCCACATCATCGATAACGGACTGATCGACCCCCTTCATGTACTTGACGCACGACAGCACGCTTGGGCTATCGCGGAACATTCTATCGATGTCTTCGAGGGATCGTCCCGCGATCTACTGAAGGTCAGTATTCGAACAAAATCCAGGCAGGGAGACATAACTTACCTCCGGATAGAGAAAATATACAGATTTTGGAATGCAGAATCCTACACATGTATACACGATGTAATATCGGTACCCGATCGTGTCGATGGCCACGGGCGTAATCATCGTGACAGCGAAGTTCCTAACAGGTTTTAGTATCACTGAGCTGATTTCAGGGTGATACAGAAAATCTCACCACAGCCAGTGGTTCGCAGTCGGGATACTAGACATCGCCACCCGCAACCGCGTCGGGGACACTTCAGTGCAGCACAAGAAATTGACTCCCAGGAATCCAATCGGAATAAAAAAGTTGAACAGGAACACAAACAGCACACTGACTACCCGTGCGCCATAGTTTGACGTTGGAAAAGATGTCGCAATAGCTGATCCCATCATGCACGTGGCCATGCCGGTACCACTGATTATAAGTACAAAGCGGCGTCCAAATCGATCAATAGCGAAGAACCCTATAAAGCAAGTAAGAAGCTTCCAGGTCAGGGTGCCTCCGCTCAGAATACGGGCTGTTTCCGAATCCATTCTCAGACCAGACTCGAAGATAGTAGTCGAGTAGACCGAGATCAAATTACCGCCTGACATTTGTTGATAGAATTGCAGGAGGATGCAGAGACCAAAACGATATAGCAGTCGGTCTTCGCCCATGCGTAGAAGATCTAACAATGACGCTGTTGTGTGGCGGGTTTCCTCCAGAGATACCTGCATGGCTGTGATCTCCCAGTGAATTTGGGTCGAATTTTCCGTATCATCCTTGAGCGCTGCCAGAGTGGTGTACGCCGCCTGTACTCGATTCTTCTGAACCAGTCATCGGGGAGACTCCGGCATGAATAAGATAGACAATGCAAGCACAAGAGAAAAGAAAATGGGGATTGCGACTGCAGGTCGCCAGGTGATGGGGCCAGGTTTGAACTGATAGAAGCTCAGATTGATCCACGCCTGTAGCACGTACCCCAATGAGATGAGAACGCCGTCCAAGACAACATGCTTGCCACGTAGGAACGGTTCCACTTAGCATGCCAACACCCATGCCCAGGATAGTTCGACCGACAATCAGCTGGGCAAGCTGGAATGCCGACGCCTCGAGAACCTATCCCACCAATATGAATACCGCCCCGGCCAAGATGGCCAGCTTCCGTCCAAATTTATCGGCAGTACAGGAGCACGAGAATGATCCGATGAGAGCCCCAAGGGTAAGGTGGCGATCACCACCCCCTGGATAGTGGCATTGTCGCTTCTTTGGGCACCGTGGGTTGTAGACGTATCGATGCGAGGGAAACGTTCGACCCAGTCAGGAAGAGTGGCCAGTCCAGCAACATTTGTTTGATTGTAGCCAAATAAAAGAAAGGCAGGGCACACTACCAGGATGAGCTGGGCGAGCGTCAAGGAGGTCCCTCGAAGGCTGAGGAGGAGGACATTGTGACTAAACACAGTCAAGCAGGAGATATAACGGGGTACCTGCACGAGCACAGCTTTTGCTCACTTCCCCAGATCAGTATTATAGATCGTCTCTCAAAATTCATGCATGAGGGCCAAGATCCGGGGTTGACATTCCTTGTGGGGTTGATTTCATGGGAGTCGGAATAGGGTCCTATTCCTGGCCGGACTGCTATCCCAGTCCGCTCGGACCTGCTCAACTGAACCAAATGGGGAGATGTCTAGATGATAAAGGAAATGTACAAGCAACTCTAGCTTGTGTCAAGTAGTCGAGAGTAGGTGCCTTGAAGGACTGGGAAAATAGGAGGTTCTCTATATGCAGGCATTGAACAGTGACTGATGCAAACTTCAAAATTCATTTATTTTCCTCAATTTAAATTATACGCTATTGACGGGTTGTGTGGAGCTTTTGGCCTCATTGACCACTCTATCGACCATCAGCTGGCAACTCCCAAGATAATTCAACGGATCACACAATTGGGCCAACTTGTCTTCTCCCAACTGTTCCACCACACACGAGTCCTCCTTGAGAACGTCCAATAATGCTCGGTCCTCTTCTATAGCTGCATTGCATGCATTGTATACCACATCGTGGGCCTGTTGTCGACCGATGTACTCGCCTAGGTTCATCATCACCGCTTCTCCAACGATTAATCCTCTAGTACAAAGGAGATTTTTCATCATCGAGGCTTCTTTAACCACCAGTCCCCCGAGGGCAAATTTGGTCTGGTACAGCGCACCCACTGCCACCGTAAATGCCTCGGGGATGGCGGCCCATTCCAAGTGCCAGGGACCCGACGCTCGCTCAAAGTCCACCACCATAGCATCCAAACCCAAGGAGGCATGCGATCGCAGCAACTTGGATGCAGCTAGAATGACCTCGCTGGAGATCGGATTCCGCTTCTGCGGCATTGTGGAAGATGCTCCGCGATGGGGCACAAACGGCTCCGAGACTTCGTCCATCTCGTTCGAAGACATAATAATGAGGTCTAGCGCGATCTTCCCGAGTGTTCCTCCAACCAGGGCCAGATACCCAAGGATCTCCCCGATATTGTCGCGAGCCACGTGCCATGTAATCATGGGATTTTCCAGGCCTAATTCCTTGGCTAATTGTGCTCGAACACGCAGTCCAATATCGTCAGTTCCTAAAGAGGCGAGCGTGCCCGCGGCGCCTCCGAACTGGACTAAGAGACAACGTTCTCGCAGCTGTTGAAGTCGGTCCTTGTGTCGTAAAATACTAGAAAGATAGACGGCACATTTGTATCCGAAGGTGCAGGGTAATGCGTGCTGGAGATGGGTTCGACCAGCCATTGGACTACAACCGGATGATATGAGGGTTAGCAGCTAATGTTTTCATGTCTGAAGATGGTCTTCACTAACGTGTCTCGGTGTTTCCCCGATAAGGAGGTCAAGATTCCAATGAGTGTGTCTAGCTCCCTCTCGACCAACTTCAGTCCTTCTTTCATTTGTAATATCGAGGCCACGTCCATGATGTCCTGGGTGGTTGCACCCCAATGGATGTATTTCCCCATCGCTTCGGGAGTGTGCTCCACCAATTGCATCACTAGCGGAAGAACGGGGTATCCAACAACCTCGGTCTCTTGTGATAATCTCTCGAAGCTAAGCATATCGTATCAGTGCTTAAGCTGAATGATGCCGGGTGTCTGAGTATACTCCAATCTGACCGTATCAAGGGCGGCCGTGATGGCGGCTCCGGCATCCTGGGGTATCGCTCCGATCGTGGACTCTGCACGAGCCAACGCCGCTTCAGTTTGAACGAGATATTGAGTGTAGGCTTCATCGGTAAAGATACTACGGATCTCCTCTGTCCCGAACAGGTTGCGGAAGATTCGCGAGTCAAAGGCGGAAATGGACATGATGGGAGCGTAGTGGCGCAATCCAATGGCAGCGACTACAAAGAGACTTAGAGAATTGAATGGGCAAAATTATTCAACCACCCCAGCAGCTATTTACGAGAAAAGCAGGAGTTGGAACTTATAGCTATGCGCAGTCAACATGAGGGGTGCGGATCCCCTTCGGAATAGGATCTAATCCCGAGCACCCACTTACAGGTTGTGGGTCACGTTGACATCGAAGCACTGGGATGTATTCAAAGACTATAATATTCAGAGCGAATCAAAGGAAGGTTCAGACGCATGTTGTTTCCAATTCAGCCTCAAACAGTATCCTGCTTGCGCAAGTTGCGGCTCTTATGAGATACCCACTTACGTACACTTCGATGACAACGAACTGGTCCGATGCAGTACGAAGTGCTCATCGAATAAAGCCATACGCCATGTACATGAGGGCCTATCTTCACTCGGTTCATGATGCTGCTTTTTGCTGAACCCGTCCCTTCTGGAATCCATCGTACCAATCCCGGCCTTTGGCGACTATAACATGATACCAGCGACTACATGGTTTCTTCTTGAAGGGACTAGCGACTACTATGGCCGATATCTCGAAGTCTGGTAACAAAGCTCTCATTATGACATTCTCCCACGGAGACTATGACTCCGTTAGTGGCTTGTGCATTGGTATCATCGTAACGAGCACGTTCGAAGATGACCGGCTTTTGAAGCTATCTCAAATGGCGTCTATTTTCTTGAAGTACCCCGATGTCAAAACTACCATCTACATGACTTCATACTATTCCGGCCACTGGGTCGAGACGACGGAGTTTCAAGGCAGAGATCTGAAGCCGGTGGTTCTCACAGCTGTGGAAAGGAAGACTCGCTCGGCTCCGCCTGGTCTCACATTTCTGCTAAAATTCCTTTGCCAGACGAAGATGCCTCCGGAGAGTATCGCGAGTTGACAACCGCACTAGTAACATAGATACACCAACTCTGCTTGGCCTGTCAGCATCCGCGATGGCTATGGATTCTCGCCTGTGTTTACAGACTCAAAGTCACAAGAGAAGTTTTAGAAAAGAACTAGGTATCGTCTATATCACTACAAGGAAAATCACAATATGCTTCCGACCTCTGACCCCCCACAGAAGGGAGATAGTTAAAGGTTTGGAGCAGGATTCGTGGACGCAAGATGATCCTGAAATACTGATGGGTTTCAACAAAGATTTCAGAGACCACGGGAGACTACAGGAGAACAAGGCGAGGTCTGCTCTCTTCGTATACCTTGAAATACTTGATTCGACAACACTTGCAATCTAAGCCCGAATACCAAATTATGGAGCACCCGACTCTTATGCATTCTATCCATGAGTTCTATAATGGTACTTTGGACGACGAGAAGAAGTTACACCCGCATCGCCTCCTCATATCAAGGCTTCGGATAAACAAGCAAGCAATCCAGTATGCGAGGACCTTGGGACTATATCGGCACCCAGGCATTGAACAGTGGACCATGGCGCAAACTTCTAAAAAGTACGATACTGCCACTTTTAAGGACTTCTTTGATAGGGTAGCCGAGTCTCGACTCTCCCATGTCGTGGCTGATCCCAACGGCAAGAAATCGCCATAATATCGCAAGGCAGCTAGGGAGGTCGCAGCAGTGACCTAACTTACTTTGGAAGTAGACATACACCAAAAAGAACATAGCTTTGTTGCGCCTATATTTGACTAATTCTTGTGTGTTTGTAAACTTGATATTGAGTAATGACAGGAGAGTATGAAACTTATGTCTGCAAAAGCCTGTTCTGTATGATTCGGTTCTGTCAAGCACCGTCGACAGTACATATATCGCATTCTTGCTGCTCTTCCACTCTCATCTCACCTTCAAGAGTTAGAACTTATAACTTATTCTACACAATCGTTGTATGTCATGCGTCTTCGTGTGCTCGCAATCATATCCGCTGGGATTCTACATCAAAGACACCAGCTGTAAGCAAAGCATGATCCCTGCTCCTTCTCTGTCCTCTTTACTGGTAAGAGTATCCCAGAAAAAGGCCCCACCCGGGTGGACTTCGGATTCCGAAATGCGACTGCGCTGGGCAGCAGATCGCCATATGGAGTAAAGGTTATCGCCACGCGGGTATCGAAGGCTCTGACGACGAAAAGTCTCTATAGATAGACAATACAACTCGGATAAGGTGGATGATTGAGCTCCTGGCAAGATACAATCTGGTCTTACTTCCACTAACGAGGCCTCTATGTATATCAATCCTATGGCGGTGCACCTTGAGACCCTGCGCAGTACTCGGACTTCTGAATCAAAGAAACTTCTCGCAACATGCTAATCCAAATTTGGACATACTCCGTAGACGTGATTTCCATTTTCAGGGCCGTTTTAAATCGGTTCCTGGCTGACCCACTCTTTTCCCGAGACTTTTCCAGAATTGGTCCACATTCCTATCGTAACTGGTTCTAATCCACACTAGGCCTAGTGTGGGATGTGAGGGTTCTTATAAATCCTGATATAAGCATCCGGCCATAGCAACATGGAAGATTTCCGCAGAGCCAGAGTACATTTGTCAGGGTCTGTCATCCTATCGGATCCACTAAGCAATCTAAGATGCGTCCCACATAGATTGGGTGATTGGCTATCTCTAACATTTCCGACATCGGATCCATATTCGGACGCCGTGACGGCTGAGAGCTCAATGGCTGTTGGTTGATAATTTTCTTTACGGCTCGGGTGCTTCTCTTGAATCGGCAAGCCGACGGTCTACCGTGGTTTCCGTACTATCCCGTACTTATATTAATAGGCCGATGCTCCGTCGCAACTGTCATTGAGTATATAAACCATCAGGCTTCCTGTTTCAGAGCTTATCGTTTACTCTATACAGGAATTTTTTTCTTTCTTTCTATCCCCTTCATCTTGCAAGATGCGCAGCTTCGCTAGTCTTGCACTTCTTCCCTTCGCGGCCGCCATTCCAGCGCGCGTTGCACAAAACACCCAGTCAAGTTACGACTACATTGTCGTCGGAGGAGGTACTGCCGGTCTGGTTGTTGCCAACCGTCTCTCTGAACATCAGAACACTTCCGTGCTAGTCATCGAGGCTGGAGGATCTGTGTTCAACAACACCAACGTGACCGACACGACAGGATACGGCAATGCCTTTGGCACCAATATCGACTGGGCTTACCAGACCGTGGACCAAGAGTATGGTGGGGGATCACCACAGACACTGCGAGCTGGAAAGGCCCTTGGAGGAACCAGTACTATCAATGGCATGGTTTACGCTCGCGCACAGGACGCACAGATCGACGCGTGGGAGGCCATTGGAAACAAGGGCTGGAACTGGGAGAACCTATTCCCGTACTTCAAGAAGGGTGAGGGCTTCCAGGTCCCTACTGATTACACCTTCCTGCAGGGCTCCGGTGTCACCTACGATCCTGCCTCCCATGGATACGAGGGCCCGTTGAAGGTTGGCTGGCCTCCTGTGGAAGAGAACGATGGTCTCGCGCAGACCTTGAACAAGACTTACCAGAACTTGGATGTTCCGGTTTCTTACAATCAAGATCTCAATGGAGGCGATATGGTGGGATACAGTCTCTACCCGATGACCGTGGACTCAAATTTGAACATCCGTGAGGATGCTGCACGCGCCTACTACTACCCGTACCAATCTCGGAAGAACTTGCATGTCCTGCTCCACACGCATGCTAACCGCCTGACATGGAAGGACGGTGAGGATGTCACTGCTGATGGTGTTGAGGTGACTCTGGCAAACGGCAATACAACAACCATCCATGCGAAGCGTGAAGTCATTCTCTCCGCTGGATCATTGAAGTCGCCTGTTCTGCTCGAGCTTTCTGGCATTGGAAACCAAGCGTGAGTTCTGTACCAACCCCCAACTAATTTATCCTTGAAGCTCACAAAAACAGCATCCTCTCCAAGTACGGCATCAAGACTAAGATCAACCTCCCCACTGTCGGCGAAAACCTGCAAGACCAAATGAACAACGCCATCGAGTATAACTCGAAGAAGAACCACACCCAGCTTCCCGACTTCATCTCGTACCCAACCATCTCGCAGCTGTTCCCCAACACCTCCATCCAAATTGGCGCTAGTCTATACAAGCAGCTGCCCAACTATGCTGCCAAGGTCGCCTCGGCCAACGGCAACGTTACCAACGCCAGTGATCTCGAACGTTTCTTCAAGATCCAGTGGAGCCTGATCTTCAAGTCGAAGATCCCCGTGGCCGAAGTCCTGATCGAGCCCTCTGGCGATATTTTCGACACGGAATACTGGTCTCTCGTTCCCTTCTCTCGTGGAAACATCCACATCTCCTCCGCTGATCCCACCGCTGCGGCTACTATCGACCCCAAGTACTTCATGTTGGACTTTGACTTCGAGTCTCAGGTCCAGGTGTCTCGTTTCATCCGTGAGCTATACAGCACCAAGCCGTTTGCGGACCAGGTTGGGGATGAGATCAGCCCTGGTCTGTCCACTGTTGCTTCTGATGCTGCTGATGCGGCCTGGTCGGACTTCCTCAAGTCAGGTTGTAAGTGCAATTCCTTCCTCCTTGCTAAGCCATGAAGCTAACCTTGATTATAGATCGATCGAACTTCCACCCCATCTCTACCGCGGCCATGATGCCAAAGGAGATTGGAGGAGTCGTCGACACGTCGCTTAAGGTTTACGGTACCTCTAATGTCCGTGTTGTTGATGCCTCTGTTCTTCCTTTCCAGGTCTGCGGACATTTGCAGAGCACGATCTATGCGGTTGCTGAGCGTGCAGCGGATATTATCAAGGCTGGTGTTTAGAAAGGCTAAACTTTCTATTTTATACTGGTAGAGATACATAATAGTAGTGATTTTGTATTAATGTACAAAAACTGTGATATGTACTACATTTTTGCATGCTTTTTTTCCTCGTCGCAGATCGACTAGAAAATTGTACACATTGGGAACACAGCGTATTCGTACTTTACAAATTTCTCTCTAAATCCTTCGTACTAATTAAAAAAAAAAAAAAAAAAAAAAAAAAAAAAAAAAAAAAAGCTTTTGCTCTATCACCAACTAACCAAGTAGAAGCGTTGTAGCCAACTACAGCTTTCTGTGGAATATCCCGAACAACAGAGATAAATAAGACGAACTTCGGTCTATTCATCAACGACAACCCGAAGTTCGGGCATATGCCAGCATGTATAGTGATGACTATTCGATTGATTACAGGGACTTGGTTAACCCATCTATACTATAAATACCCATTCCACTGTTTCCCCTTAATTGCATTTTATGAACCAACTACAGATACATTTGACATTTGATCGTCACTGTCCAGAAGGTTACTATCCAAAACAATGGATTTCTCCGCACTTATTGAGTCAATCAACACGGCAGCTGTGACTTCTGGCCCTAGCAGCGTGAACGACAATGAGCGCAGGGAACTGCTTCAAGCTTGTGAGAAATTGCGGAATGCATACGAGACGTCTCTGGACGTTGTCTCCCGGCTGTATTACTCTGTATGTATGCTAGGCTCTATTATACTATATATTTATAATGACAATATGTAGAGTCCTCAGGCGATCGTGCTCCGACTGGGAGTTGACAATGAAGTTATTCGATGCTATGGTCGAGCTCTTAGACGAGAGCATGGATGGGGAAGTCAACATTCAGCAACTTGCAGAAGAGACAGATGCAGAACCCTGCTTCTAGGTATGTATTTTACGACATCTAATGAGTGGGAAGATAGTTTACTCACTTGCCTATCAGCACGAATTATGAGATTCTTGGCCGCCATGGGGATTGTCCGCGAGGTCTCTAATGACAGTTTCACCTCAACTCTTTCGACAGCAATGTTTATCTCGAGCTCACCTCTTGCAGCAGTCCTGGTTCATGGGTACGTGCTTTCTCCAGGGACATGCAGAGACATCCCGTGTCCATTACTGACTAGATGTAGTACTCACTACCTTACCGTCCTGTCAAAGCTCCCCGATACTTCGCACAGAAAGGATGGAAGATCCCAGATGATGCGGACGATGATCCATTCCAATTCGCCATGGGTACTCGATCCCATTTTTTCGACTTCCTTTCGTCAAAGCAATACTACCAGCAAGCGTTCAATACCACCATGACTACCTCGTTTCGAAGGAAGGGTCAAGGCTGGTTTATCTTCTTTCCTGTAGATGAGAAGATACGTGTTGAAGATCCTATGGCTCCTTTGTTGGTCGACATCGGCGGCGGTAAGGGTGAGGATATTCTTGCCTTCCGAGACAGGTTTCCACATTTGCTGGGAAAGCTCATCTTACAAGACCTGTCTGTGGTTGTTGAAGGAATCAAGGACACAATGCCGCCAGTCGAAGCGCAAGGATACAATTTCTTCGACGAACGACCCGTTAAAGGAGCCAAGGCGTACTACTTGCGCACAGTCCTGCATGGCTGGCCCAATAAGCAAACTCTTCAGATCCTAGGGCGAGTATGCGAGGCTATGATTCCAGAGTCGTTATTGTTGCTCAATGAGGTTCTGGTACTGGGGATAAATCGATCCTCGTCTTCTGCCGCAGTGGATTTGGTGATGATGACTTCATATGCTGCATTGGAGCGGACGCAGGCGCAGTTCGAGACATTATTGAATGAGGCTGGATTCAAGTTAATCAATGTTTGGAGGCCTGAAGGAACAAAGATCGAGTCATCGCAGGCAGTGCTGTTAGAGGCTCGTCTGAAGCGATGATATACATCAGCCCTAAGGAATTATATATAGTAACATTAGCGTGTAGCCTCACTATTCTACTTTATACATACTGAGCCCATAATAAATATGAATATTTCGCCTCGCAATACGAATCCTTGGAAAGAGCAGACAGTCAGAGATGATGGGAATTCGGGTGGTTACTCTTTCTGGCCGGGATTCCGTCGAAAAGTGCCAAGACCATTCAGGGCCCAGAAGAACATAATCAGTCATCACCTTAAGTCCAGCCAATCACAACTCACCGCCCCATTGCCCCGTTATGACTCGATGACGGCACCCGTGATTTGCATCTGATAAGAATTTCTTTTCTTTACGGCCTCGTGTTCTTTGATTGTGTCTCTCCATGTTCCTTTTTCACAGAATCCAGTGAAGTATGTACCTGAAGGTCGATGGTTCGCAAACATGTCATTCCAACCACTCGAACCCGCACCTTCGAATCCTCCATCGCAAACTTCCATCAACGCGGGTCCACTGCATCCCAGAAGCTTGTCTCGAAGCTTTACCGGTGCCTCCAACCCCATCGCTGTATCACAATCATCGCACGAACACTTGAACTCGCATAGTTGTGTTACGTGTCGACGGAGAAAAGTACGCTGCAATAAACGGTTACCATGCTCGAATTGCATTAAGGCGGGGATCGAATGCGTCTTCCCTGCTCCCGGGAGAGCTCCCCGCAAACAGAGACGGCAGCAAGATCCGGAACTGCTATCGCGGCTAAGGCGTCTGGAGGGCATGATAGAGCAGATTAAAGATAATAAGACGGACAATACATCGTTTCCGTCACGGTCTCCCGTCGAAAGTATTGCGAATGCAGCACCCAACGAGCAGCCACAACCAAGTGAGAAGGGAAAAGAACAAGCAGTGGGAGGAGAACACCAAGTATGTCCGTTTATGGTTGACCAGGATCCTACAAGGATGGCACCGCAGAACCTGGAAAATGAATTTGGGCGGCTGGTCATTGATGAAGGACGGAGTCGTTATGTGAGCAATCGGTTTTGGGCAACTATGGGTGACGAGATTGAAGAGTTGCAGGACATTCTTGATCCTTCGTCATCGGAAGATGAAGACTATCCTTCTCCGGAGTCGTCTACGGGCTCGACCGGTCATGACGGATTCTTATTTGGCTTCTACTCACTATCTCATTCCCTGCGGAGCTACCATCCACCCCCAGAGCAGGTTACTTTCCTTTGGAATGTCTACCTGGAGAATGTCGCGCCAGTGATATCTCTCCTTCACAAACCTACACTAAGTACCCTCTTCAATGGCCCGGCGCAAAACCCTGATATGTTGGACAAAAACTCCGAGGCTTTGGTATTGACGATATATTTCGTCGCCGTTGTCAGTTTATCGCGGGAACAATGCCAATCGAAGCTGGGTGAAAGCCGCGAAGCAGTGGTTCGCCGCTATCGTTTTGCCGTTGAGCAGGCATTGTCTAAAGCGAATTTGCTAAATACTCAAAACTTGATGCTTCTTCAAGCAGCAGTGATTTTCCTTATCGGTGTGCGTCGAGAGGACGATACGAAGTTTGCTTGGGCCATGACTTCGGTTGTTCTTCGGCTCGCTCAAGGACTTGGTTTGCACCGGGATGGTACAAACTTTGGCCTGAAATCTTTCGAGACAGAGATACGTCGACGGTTGTGGTGGCACATCTGCTTGTTGGATATCTGTACTTCTGAAGACCACGGAACTGATGCGCAAATCCATGAAAAGCTGTACGATACTCGACTCCCACTGAATGTCAATGACGATGATATAGCACCTGACATGCAGGAACCCCCTGTCGAGCGGGAGGGCTGTTCGGAAATGACCTTCTCTTTGGTTCGTTTTGAGATCACCACCGTCCTTCGTCGGGTAAGCTATAATTGTCCGGGTGGCCGATATCGCTTGGGACAAGCACAACCGTCCCCTGATACGTGTGGAAACATGCTTCAAGCAGTGAACCACCGCATGGAAGAGCGATATCTTAGACATTGCGATATGAATATTCCAATCTATTGGGTCTGCGCTACTGTTGCTCGCTTAATCTTGGCAAAGACGTGGCTTATCATCCACCATCCAATGACCCGGGGTGACCGTGGGGCCAAATTGTCAAGTGCATCTCGAGAAAATCTCTTTTTCACTTCAATTGAAGTGATCGAATTTGCTCGCTTATTGGAAAACAATGAGCATACATCTAAATGGGGTTGGCTGTTTACCACTTACAAACATTGGCATGCTATAGCTTTGATTCTATCTGAGCTTTGTGTCCGTCCTCTTTGTCCGATTACCGATCGCGCGTGGCTGGCCGTGCATTCTGTGTATGGAAGGTTAGAGCAGCATGCTAAGCAAAAGAAGGGTATGATGTGGCGGCCAATAGCAAAGTTGATGAAACGAGCTGCTGCTGTCCGGGCTAAACAACGGGAAGAAATGCAAACTGAGCCAACGGCTTACCCAGAGATAACTGACCTTACATTCTCATCAGCACAAACGGGACAAGGATGTGCTAGCCTTTGCCTTCCACAATTCATGCCTCGTATCGAAGCTCCTTTCAACACACAGGTTTCAATGCCCACTCCGTCGCATGTGTCATTCGATCAACAGCCAGCCATAGGTCTTGGTGATATTGATATCTCTAAGGGGGACATGGGTGTTATCACTGATATTTTTCCGGACACAGACTTTTTGGCTATTGACCATACTATCCGGTCACCAGTGATTGGGACAGACAAATCGGCTAGCGACACACCAGCTGGCGCTCCAAGTGCCGCGATAGCACCGATAGAAGGACAGCAAGTCTCGTCGAATTCGCAACTCAATTGGGAAGAATGGGATCAAGTCATGCGCGATTTCCAGATGGATTTGCAAAGAACCCAGGATAGCCAGCCGTTTGGGAATGTATCTGGTTGGCTCACCTGAGTGCCTATATTTTCTGAGTCGAATACAAATCTACGACCAAGCCGAATCTCCCATCTCATAATCTATAATACCTCGATCTCCTCTCAACGACGCATGATGACCCGGAATTATGTGAATACTTTGCTTTTTGTATATATCGGATGCTGATGAGAACTTTCCATGTTCATATCATGCCACAGTTTGTGGTTATGTGGGTGGCACATCACTATCATATACCCTCACATTCTATCACCTATCATTTGCTCTCCCATCGCCGGTGAAATACCATCTCGCTTTCTCCTCTCTAGATAAAGCTTCAGCAAACCTATATATAAAAAAATTAAACAAAATAAGAATATATAAGGTTCTTTCGAGCTTTTCTGCTAGACTTTCCGTTATATCCTGATCAAGGGTGCGAGGAAGTCACGTGACTCCCGGAGATTGTACACTGTAGCTTCATCACCTCCCGACACCTCATCATCTACGCCAACACCATTGCCAATTGCTGCGTTTCCTTCTCGAATCTACCTTATCGCCACTCATAGTTACTACCGGCACCCATCTACACTTATCGAAAACAACCATCCATCCCCAAACCCAACAACAACAACAACAACAAACCTCCGCAATGGCCCCGAAACGACACGCAGCAGCAACACCCTCCACCCCCTCAGCCACCACTACCACACCCCTAAAATCCACTATCTCCTCCAGCCCAGCTACCCTAAAATCCAACGCCTCCCCGCTCGAAATCGCCCACTATGTGCTAAATCAGTACCTCACGACCACACCGCAGCGCACGAAGCTGCTGGACGCCTTCATGGGTTTTCTGGCAATTGTCGCGGTAGCGCAGTTTTTGTACTGTGTGTTGGCTGGGAATTATCCGTTTAATGCGTTTCTGAGTGGGTTCTGTGCGGCTGTGGGGCAGTTTGTGCTTACGGCAAGTTTGAGGATGCAGACCAGTGGTGGTAATGGTGGTGACGGTAAGAAGGAGGGTGGTAAGGCTGGTGGGAAGGGGAAGAGTGTGAGGATTGCGGGTGAGGAGAAGGAGGATGGTGGTGAATGTGAGGTTTCGCATGAGAGGTTTGTTCTTGCTTTCTCGTTCTGGTTGGGCTAAGAAAGTTGCTAACTGGTACAGGGCGTTTGCGGACTATGTCTTCGGAAGTGTGATCTTGCATTTCTTCTGCGTAAACTTTATCAACTAAGCAGTTGGACGAGATGGTAGAATGGACGGAATAGGGTCAATTCGTCGCAGTTGTGCTTGGGCTTGGTTGATCCAAACCTCTTACATGGGTTCCTGCTGTTCTATCTGATGAGCATCCTGCGGGCTTTTTTGTTTCCTTTGCGCATTGATTGATTTGTATCATACGAGCGTTATATTATTGTCAGATGTCAATTGAGGATCAAAAGCGTTATAATGAAGTCTGGTCTAGATGCCATGCAATTATATAACCTCTAACTATCAGTAGAGAACCCTTATCCAAACGCCAAACAGGGTATATGTACATCTATGCACTTAAAAATGAAAAAAAGGACCTCTAAAATGCCCTTCCTCCCCTTCTCTTCACCTGCGGCCTCCTTACAACACTCCCACCACCTCCATGGCCAGCACCAGCACCAGACGAAGATGACGCAGTAACACCTCCAATCCTCCTAGCACCGACTCCAGGTCGTCTTACGACCGATGAACCTACTTCAACCTCATTCTTTCGTCTTGAAGGGTCGTTGCGTTCTTGTTCGCGCTGTTTGTCAGCGGCGGCGCGTTCGCGGTCAGCGGCGATTTGAGACTCGATTTCCATCCGTCGGTTGAATTCTAGTTCTGTGACGCGGCGTTCGCGTTGTGAGTAGCCTTTTTCTTTGACGGAGTAGAAGACGCCGCCTAGTTCGGCGAGCCACTGCAAAAAAAAAAAAAAAAAGTTAGCTATTGTTTAGGGGATTGACGTACAAGACGAGGGTGTGACTTACGTGTGGATCCACGGCAGTGACTGTGGACATGTACTCTTTCGCAGTAAGGATCAACTCATGGTAGACCACATACTCAGGTACATATCCAAGACCATACAGTGCACTGGTCGGATGAAGCTGCATAGTTACACTCGTCCGCAGATTAATAAACTCCCCAATACCCTTCACCCTCGCAGCCTGGTGATAGAACCCAGAGCAGATACATTTCCGAGCAACATCCCAATCTGTCCCACAGCTGAGAAGAGGCATCTTCTGCGCAACCATGATATCATGCAGCTGTTCACGGACTTCCTTTGCGCGTCGCAGCGCCTTGGAATGCAGGAAATGTTTGTTGCACCATGAATCTGAGTAGCCATTGGACTTCCATTGTGTGTAGACGTGGAGGAGGGTTAAGTGGTCTGATTCTGGGACGAAGAATTTCTCGCGGGCAGTGTCGGATTCTTCCTGGCGTTCTTTGGGGCGGTAGAAGACGCTTGGGACGGAGAGCATGGAGACGATGGTTAGCATTTCCTCGCTGCATTCATATTCTGAGGAGGCTGTGATGAGAAGTTTGGCGAGGGGGGGATCCATTGGGAAGGGTGTCATTTTGCGGCCTAGTGGTGTTAGGTCTCCGAGATTATCTAAGGCTCCCAGGGACCAGAGTTCGAATAAGGAGGTTGTGATTGTTTCTTGTGGTGGGGGGTCCATGAAGTCGAAATCCAAGAGGTCTTTCACGTCGAGTGACTTGAGGAGAAGTACTGTGTTGGAAAGACTGGTTCGTTGGATCTCGGGAATCGTCTGCAGGTAAAGTTCGTTTTTATATCCCATTTCTGTGAACAGACGATATGCCTTTCCTGGGCCTGTTCTTCCGGCTCTTCCAGATCGTTGATTGGCGTTGGCCTGGGAAATTGGGGTAATTTGAAGTGTGTCCATGCCCATGCGGGGGTTGTAGACCTTCAGCTTCGAGTATCCAGAGTCGACGACGTACATGATACCATCGACAGTCAAACTCGTTTCGGCAATGTTTGTCGCGACGACCACCTTGCGCACACCAGGAGCAGCTCTTTCGAAGATTTTCGCTTGTTGCTCTGCTGGCATTTGACTGTATATGGGCAAGATGCTGAGCTTGGGTGGATCGTTTAGCATTTTCAACCGTTCATCAACCAGCTCACATGTCGCCTCAATATCTTCTTGTCCTGTCATAAAGACGAGGATGTCGCCAGGTCCCTGCGAAACATGGATAGCCAAGACCTGCTTGACTGCACTGTCGACATAGTCCTCACAAGGGGTGCGCGAGAAATGGACGTCAACCGGGAAAGTTCGCCCGGGGATGATGAACTCTGGTGCACCGCCATAGAAACGCGAGAAGCGTTCTGCGTTCATTGTGGCTGATGTGACAATCAATTTCAAATCTCTTCTTCTAGTCAAAACTTTCTTCAAAAGGCCCATCAGGACATCAGTGTTCAGTGCTCTCTCGTGCGCCTCGTCCATAATAATGCAAGAATACTTGTCGAGATCCGGTTGAACTAGTGACTCTCGTAGAAGTACACCATCCGTCATATATTTGATGACAGTTTCGTCGCTGGTACAGTCCTCAAATCGAATCGCATATCCGACAGCGCCACCAAGATCCACTTCCATCTCTTCGCTCACACGTTTCGCAACACTCATAGCAGCCACACGACGAGGTTGCGTACAACCGATCAAGCCAAACTTCGAGTATCCGTCCTCATGCAGAAATTGTGTCAATTGTGTCGTCTTCCCGGAACCAGTTTCACCAACAACGACAATAACCTGGTTATCACGAATAACCCGTAACAAATCCTCACGAACCGCAAACGCCGGCAAGAACTCTCTCTGCTCGCGCAGCGTCTTGCTTTTACTAAACGCACTCTGCCCACCCTCATCTTTCTTCATGTGCTTTGCAAACTTATTCCCACCCTTATACTCCTCATCAACCGGCATAGCAACAGCACTGTCACCTTCATCTTCCTTGACCCCCATCAAATGCCCCAACGCCGTACCCGCCACAGTAGTCGCATCCTGAGCCTGCTTTTGCCTCTCCCGCTGCTGACGACGGTCCCGAACAACCTTGCTCCCCTTCCGACTAAACACAGCCATATCACTCTGCGGATCGCGCACAGCGGACACCGGCTCCAACTGCTTTGTGAAAATCGTTCGGCCATCGAGGAAAGGCGGTCGTAGGTCGTGGACGAGCAAGTGGACTCGGGTTCCTTCTTCATCTTCGGGGGCAAAGTCGCCGTTATAATCTCGTCGTTGGGCAACGCCCGATGTGAGCATTCGATTGGTTTCCCAGTCGTCAATGTCTTTGCGCTTCGCGTCGCGCAGCTGTGGCGGTAGGCTGCTCTTCTGCCTCTTGGCTGGGGGGCCGTCGGAAGCCATAATGGGCGAGGTTACAATTAGGGGTGCGGGTAAAATGTTAATTCGAATGAAACAAATGATATACAAGTGGCAGGAATGGCCACTAATGGTCTGCGCCGAAAAGTAATGAGCTTCGGAGGTTGAAGTTGATATCGTATCGCCAGTGTGCAAAATATGCAAACATCGTAGATGTCACGTGCAATTTGTACACATCGAAGGGTTTGTCGATAACGAGGTTCTTTTCTTGGGATGATATTATACTCTCGAAATTATTCTGGATTGTGTACTTGTTTGGGCTCTGTATAATTTTAATATCGTTGTCGACCGTCTCCAGTGGAATCGGCCAATCTCGACACTGCCGGCGAGTTCGTTGACCTCCATCATCTCCGGTATCAAGCCCCGCGTCGCAGTTCACAGCTTCACGCCGCACATAATTCAATAAGACACCATGGCCAGCCAACCGCAAATCAACCCCAAAAAGCAGCAGGGTTCGTTTAATCCCCCTTGGGTCTTCTGAGACGGGCTTTACAGATGCTGGAGTGACTAACCAAAACTCCGTGAACAGAGCTGCAGCTTCAATACACGAACTTCAAGAACACCTTGCAACAAATGGCACAGAAGATTGGTGATATGGAGCAGGAAGGTGAAGAGCATAGGTGAGTTTCTTGGTCGTATATAGGTCTTGGTGACGACATGGTGGCTACAGAGTAGTTGCGCCTGCAGCAGGCTTCCTTGATTTTCGAGACCCCGGGGACTAATATTTGGTTTCCCTAGACTTGTCATCGAGACCCTCGAACCTCTCCCTAAAGAACGAAAGTGCTTCCGCATGGTGAATGGCGTGCTGGTCGAGCGCTCAATCGCAGACGTCCTCCCCGCCCTCAAAACGAATTCTGATGGATTGAAGCAAGTGCTAGAGGAGATGTTGAAGCAGTACAAGACGAAGCAAACAGAGCTGGATGGATGGAAGGTAGGTTGCACCTCGACAGTTGATGTGGCATTACGGGATTGTGGACATGATATTGACTTACCGGTTTTACAGAAAAAGAACAACATTCAGGTCGTGCAGCCATAGACGGGATAATACGTTTTCCTTATTATGCTCGTAACTCTCCTCATTGTATTTCTTCGAGTCACATATTGGGTCATTGTATGATTGAGACCAGCAACGGCGTTAGGGGTTTCTGGAATCACAAAATACTTGGACATTCGAGCCTCCGATATCTTTTGATCTTTGCCTTACTTCTTTTTGATTAAATTCAACAGCGCGGGCGTGCCCAAGCTCTCAGATTTGGAGGGGAGCGCATGGCTGATACTCCATATGTCAACAGGTCAAACATTTTGATGCGAACGCGCGCAGGGATAGGATTGTGACGGCATGGCGGATGTTTTTGAGACGCACTTGTGCCCAAATATCTAGGTCTAGACTGGACGAATATCAGGCGATAATTAACAGCCTGAGGCGAGCAATGTAGAGCTTCACATGTTTACTTGGTAACCAATCAGAAATCTCAGATATATATGGATCATAATTGTTGCTTCCCCTTTGACTAGTACTAATGCCATAAGTGCCTCAATGCAATCTATAGTAAGATCCAGATGAGTTGGCAAACAGTGTTGGGTCCGGAAACGCCCATGCATGGAAGGCTGTTGTGACTGCATTTCGGTTTCAAATTAGTTGGGACAGACTGATCTGATTGGTGGCATTATCGAAGTCTTTCAGCATTAATTGCTGGACATCGAGACTTTTCAGGAAATCTCGAACTATCCATTGGCATTGGTGCCCTGCTTCACATGAGCCTTGGGCAGTGATACTCATGCCTCAATACCGAACAGAGTCAAGTACTTTGTCCGTACTGTGTACATGGTCCAGCGGTTGACTCTGAGATGGCACACATGCCTGATGTGCTAACAGAGGGGAACAGACCCCCGCGATTTGGAAACCACGGCCAGGAGATGACACATTTGACAGGGAACATGGTTCTACTTCAGATCCCTCGATGTCAGCTACTGCGTCACAGAGAGACGCGGATTGCTATTAGTCCCAGATTCCCGGCAGCGTTAGTGAGTCCCAGGCAAACCATGCGGAATAGAAAGTCTCAAGGCATCGGTCATCGTACCAAGCCATTGATTATGCTGGGATCCCAGATACAGTTCCAAGAGAACCCAGTTGGTTTGGGCGCAAATATTACCGCAGCACGGTCTATCCAAGTTTGCCTGATTCCGAGGGCTTTCCTTTGTCACATCCATTGTACTTTTTCCAAAGCTCGAATTTGGTCCGGTAAGAATATATGGGGGCCTGTTCTGGGCTGCAGAGACGGACTCGATGCCTGATGCAGTATCTCTGTTAAGTTTGCCCAAACAGCAGGTGATTCCTGAGATTAGACCCATCTGTATGCATTTATTTCGATCTGATAATTCCTATTCGTGCCCTCATGTATGCAACCAGAAACACCGAACAGACCAGGGCCTGGCCTTATCGATCATGCACTATTATTGCGAGCATCGTCCGCAACACGGTCTAAGCAGTGGTCCTATGTACTTTTGCGGCGCAGCTATTCTTGTTTAGTTACGAATACCAATATGTAGATAGTAATGGCAAATAGCCATATGGTCGGGTTCAGGCTGTCAGGTTCGAGATCACGCTTCTTACCATACCATACATATCTCGTTCCGCGACCCCTCGATTCCCCAGAGCTTAATCCCAAATAGGCAATCCGTAAGATACCAAGACGTATGACTGGTGTAATAGACACCTCAGGCCTCTGATACAGCCTTGTTAATTCCCCGGAGTCATTGACTTCTTTCATCCTATCATCATCCTTCCCTCATCAGATCCATCTTTTAGAACTGCGCGCAAAGAACCGAACAGAGCGTTGTTTGTATATCCGTCTTATTGGGCGTTGTATTGACCCGCGTACCACTCTCTGGCTCTTGTCGCTGTGGTTCGCCAATTGCGGCCTCCAGTTTTTTTCACCGGCCAGCAGCGCTTCTGTGTGGACGACGCGACCTGCTCTTTCCCCCCAAAGCTTCCTCTGTCGTTGGTCAACTTCGTGCCTGTTTCTCGGTTTTTTGGCTCTGCGCAACGTGCCACCATATTTACATTTATTTGACCCACTGGCGCGCGTTGCATTATCGCCCGTTTTCCTGTCCAAATTATCTCGAGCAGGGGACGCGCATAGTTGACGTTATACTGCTGCGGTACTCGGTACTCTCTTGTGTACGTGCTTCTGTCCCCGTTCCATACAATCTTATTCGCCCGTTGAATCTCCCTATACTCTGTGACTGGATATCATGTCTTTTGTTTCGATCGCTGGGGAATATACCCTCAAGGATTCTTATTTACAAAGAAAAAAATGGTGAAAAATGACTGGCGCGCTCATCGCCAAAATACCAATCAATCCACCCCATCAGCATCGGCATGGCAATTGTCAATCCCCCACACGATTAATCACTACCCTTTTGCCCTCTTTCACAACAATCCATTCAGGCTGCTGTGAAGCGAGTCGCTGCCCAGCCAGATACGCGCATCTTCCCTGAATTGCCCCATTCATCCCCCCCTGACGCAAAACATCCTAGTGCTTTGGAATTACAGGCTATTCTTTCGCGCACGCGCATCTCTGACGTGGACTGCCAACAGAGCAATCAAACTCTCCTAATCCGTCCGAGTTTTCCGAGAGCTTTATATTCAAACAGCTAAAAAGTCATGTCGTCGACCTCTCCCTCAAAGGAACCGGAGGTGGACCCGGAAGCGCAGTCAAATGAAGAGGAAATGGATAAGGATCCAGATCAAGTGCATGGTCAAGAGTTCGAGGTGAAGGAGCAGGACCGATGGCTCCCGATTGCAAATGGTTAGTTGCATTTTCCTTGCAGCCTTTCCTGTCTTCCTGATTTGCGCGTACCTTACGTTCGACTGCTGGGCGACGGCCGTTTGCGCGCCCCTCTTTTTAATTTCCCTCTCTCCATACAGACGTCTGAAAGGAAATGCATTTTAAGCGCGTGCGCTTCTATTCGTTCTGGCGATATATTTCTTTCATTCGCGCGTCGAGCCCGTTGAAATGATTCTGTCAACATCTATCACTGTCATTCTTTCGCGCAACAACAGCACACATTCTCTTGCTTGCGCTTGAACATGCTGACATTTATTTCAAGTTGCGCGCATTATGAAAACGGCTCTGCCTGAAAATGCAAAAATCGCAAAAGAGGCCAAGGAATGCATGCAAGAATGCGTGAGTGAATTTATCTCGTTTATCACCAGTGAAGGTCAGTGCAGATCTCTTCGTTTGGCTTCATGTGACCAAGTTACTGACGTGCTTGTTAGCCTCCGAAAAATGCCAGCAGGAGAAGCGCAAGACCGTCAACGGCGAGGATATTCTGTTCGCTATGACGTCGCTCGGGTTCGAGAACTATGCTGAGGCTCTCAAAATCTATCTTTCCAAGTATCGCGAGGTAAGACCCTTGAATACCATGTTTACCTTACTACAGATTTTGTGAAAACTTGATTCTAACGGATTTGCTCTTTCTAGACTCAGTCCGCAAGAGGAGAGAACCAGGGCCGGCCACCGAGCAGTTACAGTGCGGCCGGACGTCCTGGTACCGCCGCCTCGGGAGGCTTCCCCGATGCTGCCAACAATGCCAGCATTCTGAACCCAGCCCTCGATCCATCTGAGCAGGATACTGCTGCCTATGGATACCCACCCATGCCTCACAACGGAGCCGGTGGAGAGTCTTACTAGTTCAAGCAACGAGACCATCTGCGGGACATGGACGTCAGCCAGCAGCTCTCCTGGGGCTAACTGGCTGTATCGTATGGCAACGCACGCCTCAGCTATCTGCAAATTACCCCTGCGGATAGATTAGGCATGTGCGGGGGTCATCAACTAGTCACCGGTGTTACTTGCTACGCCGTGTTCTGACGGCATGATACGACGGGTTTCTAAGGGTTAGCGACGGATACGACACGGGCTGCATATTACCTTTTCTTTTACGCTTCAGACGACAGCTCGGGTCAATTTCTTTTTTACGCAATGGTTTGAAAGAGACAAAATAATCGACCTCGGGGTACTTTGGGTGCGGAGTCGGTGTTTTCTTTTTTCTGTAATTACGTCCAGGGCTTTCGAATGGGTTCTTGTTGTGGGAAATATTTCAGTGACAGATAGAGGCACATACGAGGACTTCATTGTCCAACTGAGCTTCTCTATGTCTTTTTACTCTTTTGATATCCTCTCTTTGGCTTATTTTCTAGAGCTGTTATCGGGTCTACAGCAGCACATCTTCTGATTGGCTGTGGTGCTATCGATATGTTATCAACGATTTTCAGTGAATTCCACCATTATTTATCTTGCATCCTAACAATATTCTATCTTCATCTTACATTAACGCGGTATACGGAACGTTGCATTGATCCCGGACGCTTCTCCGCAAGTGCACGTGAGTCAACCCCAGATGTCCAGCACTGATCGCCGATATCTACCCTCGATTTCCGCTTCCTCTTCTTTCCTCTTCGTATTACACAGCTTGCTTTCGCTATGCTTCAATATACCCCGTAAGCCACGGCTGATATACTATTTTCTGCCTTGCATGATGAAGCATCCTGTATCCACGCTTGCAACAATTCCATGCTTTTGCGATGATACCTACAGCGCACAACGGTCACTCGCCCACCGGTGACGGCGTGACCAAGCGCAAGTCGAGTATGAAGTTGTGGTCCTTGACAGAAGTCCCGAGGACAGTATTTTAACTAATGTATCTCTCTATTTCTACTCTAGCCTCCGCAGCTTGCGTCCACTGCCATCGTCGCAAAGTCCGATGCGACGCCCGCGTAGTCGGGCTACCTTGCACCAACTGCCGTTCCGCTGGAAAGACCGATTGCCGCATCCATGAAAAAAAGAAACGTTTAGCCGTTCGTTCAATTCTCGATCCCGTTCCGATTCGCTGTCGTCCGCCGTCTGTGTCTGAACCGGAACCTGTCGCTGCGAAATCTCTCTCTCCGAACTCCGCCGGTCAACAGCAGACCACCCTTATAACAACACCCACGTCAGGTAACATGTTGAATAACAATCATGGAAGTCCCCCGATATCTGCGCCCCAGGCGTATCAGCAGCAACCGACACCGGGTTCCGCGGGTGATCCAGATGCACATACAGACTTGGAGAAACGGCTGGTGAATCTCATTGATGATGGTGATAGTGGGAGGAGGGAAATTCAGAGAGGTGTGCGGGCAATCTATGTTGGCCATGAATTGTCGAACATGTCCTTCTTGATTCGTCAGCAACGCGATAAAGATGACGATGTGTATCATTTTGCTGGAAATGAGATCCCGCGACGGCAGCTGAAGATCGGCCATGACCAGCTTATCATGGACGCTTTGACTTTACCGGAGCAGGCTCTAGCGGATGAGTTAGTTCAGGCATATTTTACATATGTCAACCCGGGGTATCCCATCATCGATGAAGACCTGTTTATGGCCCAGTATCGCAATCGAGATCCGGCAGATCCTCCTCCAGTTTTGCTCTTGCAAGCAATTTTACTCGTGGGCTCCCATGTCAGTCGACCTAAAGCTGAGCGAGATGCTCTTAAAGAAATCTTCTTCCGCCGCACAAAATGGCTGTTCGATAGTCGAATTGAGCGTAACCGTGATATTATGGTTCAAGCTGCACTCCTGATGACATGGCATACGGAGAGTGCTGACGACGATGTGGCTTCGAATGCGCATTACTGGGTTGGCGTCGCTGCCAGGATTGCAACCGGCCTTGGTATGCATCGCAATCCTGTCTCGAGTAGGTTCGTTCCTCGAGACAGGCACATGTGGAGAAGACTATGGTACATATTGGTGCAGTTTGATGTTATGGTCTCGTTGTCATATGGTCGACCGCAAGCCATAAATTTGGAGGATTCTGATGTGTCACCATTGGCTCCTGCTGATTTTGAAGGATGTGGATCTCACGTGCAAATCGAATATGTGATCCATTTCTCGGAATTGTGTATCATGATATCGCATATCGTACGCGAGCGATTCGGATTGCGCGTCAGCCCTGAGCGACGCAAAGCGGCTCTACAGGAAGCCGACGAAGCTTTAGCGAACTGGTCACTGAAACTGCCGGATAACCTACGTCTTCGTGCATCGGATATGGATCCATGGTCTGCCATGCTCCACCTAACATACAACAACTTCTTGATTCTTCTCCATCGACCTCATCCAAGAGCATCTGCATATTCAGACGACTATGGGCCTCATGACGCAGAGATTTGCAGTGCAGCTGCAGGAGTCATTGCTTCTATTTTCGAAGAGCTGCGTCTTAATAGTCGCTTGAAGCTACTATGGTACTCAGGAGTCCACACCCTCTTCACAGCCATGATTCAAGTACGCGTCGAGCTCCGATTCTCCAACCCCGTTCTCGCAATTAATGCACTACGTCGTTTTGACTCTGCATCGCATTCTCTACGTGAGCTCTCCCAGTATTGGGCTCATGCAGCTACTATCCTCCGATTATTCGAAGACTCCAGGCGCCTCCAGGAGGACTTGCGAGCAGCCACCACCGAAAGGCCTCGCCAATTCAGTGGATCTCAGGAACGAAATCGGAACACCAACCCCAACCCTCTTTCCACTCCCGCTCCTGAACAATCTCCGTCTAACATCCCTCCTACACCCGATATATCCCAACTACGCAGTACATTAAACCAACCACAGCAATTCAACAACTGGATCTCACCATCAACGACCTTACCGCCTGTTGATTCAATCGATCATCCACGAGAATTACTGGACTGGCGGCAGTTGTTCTCATTCACTGATCTTGATCAACCTGTCCCTATGGCTTTTGAGGGTCTTCCGGAGTTGGAGGATGAATGGAGGCAGATTTATTGGCAGGAGATGCCTATGGCCGATCTACTTCAGGATGGGGGATGGATGCATGGTTGACTTTGTTTACTCTTGCTTTTGATTACTTTTAATGATAATAACGCATTAGGTCTTGGTCGTATGGACTTTTCTGTTACCATACCACATGCACCGTTTACATTTATAGCATTTCGACGGCAGATGAGGCTTTGCAGAACTGGTTTTATGAATGTTATGTCTTTGTTAATTTCGAGGTAAAGCTTTGGCTTTAGATACATCCAATGGTAACTCAATTAGCGGCTGATGCCATGCTAAAAGTACATCTAATATGCAATGCCCTCATAAATACAAGCTCTGAGAATAAAATGCAACAAATCCTACCCATAAGCAAACCTCCCCCAATTCTCCCCCAATCTCTTTACCCCCTCCTCCAAGCCCCACCCTCGAATCTCACAAACCCTCCTCACAACATCCTCCAATAGCCCATCCATCACTGGCCCTGCCGTATGCAAATCACTCTCTACAAGGACCCTATCATCAGGCAACGCCTTAACAACATCAATCGCCTTCTGCGCCCCCGGCGCAGAGAAATTAATCACATTTGAGAAAGAGAAATAGACGTCTGATGGATTAGCTGGGTGCAAGAATTGCTTGACTGCTTCCACGGGGCCGGAGTAGGAGTGCATGCAAATGCGCGGTGGGAAGGGAAACGTTGGCTTCCTTTCCTCTTCTGAATTAGATGCCTTCCTCGTAGCATCTTCCTCATCACTCTGTTCATGCGCCCCAGCAACACTCTCCCTCCTCCTCCTTTCCTTCCTACTCGGAACCCTTCTCTCATATCCCTTCCATAGTTCCTTAAACGCATCAAACACAGCCCCATGTGCCTGCACACTATGCACAGACACCGCCCTTCCCATCTCCCCCGCCAACCGCAACTGAGCTCTCAGCACGACCCTCTGATGTTCCAAATGTACCCGGTGTGGAGACAGTTTTCTTCCCTCCCGTGACCCAGGTGTCACAGTTGTATCGCGGGTTTCAAGGTCCTGGGTTGTCCAGGGATTTGGGAGGCGGAAGGCGCGGTCGAGGCCAATTTCGCCGACTAGGGCGGTTGGGTGGGTTGTTAGGCGGGTGCGGGTTTGAGTTATGAGGTTGGAGAGGGGTTTGGGGGGTGGTAATGATGCAATGAAATGGTTGCCAATGTCATCGTTTTTGGGAGACGGGGTGAGGACTTTTTGGTAGTGTGCTTTTTTGAGATCTTCGCCGGTCTCGGTTGTTGACGGTGATGGTGTGTTTGAGTCGTCGAGGATTTGATATGAGAACCATGGATGCCAGCCGAAGCATGGGAGGATGCGACCCTCATTTCCCCCATTTTTGCACTTTTCCTCTTTTGGGAACTTTGTTGCGATATCGAATACAAGATCCTGGTCTTCCCCGCGCGTAGACATAACCGTGAGCGTCCTCGTTTTCATCTGCGGAATCTCGGCGATCGAGGCCATGGTATCTGTTGGGTGGCAGTGGACATCGTAGACACCCAGGTCCCAGGGGAAGGGGCCATCATGTGTTTCTTTCCCGGGGTTATCATCTTGGGACATGGTCGTTTCCTGTTGGGAATAGGATCCGTTTTGTATATGCGTTGAACACCGGTGGTGTTGTTGATGTTGGCTGTGACGTAATTCTATATTTTCTGCCTGAGGCATTATAGCGAATGGTAAGAATCTTGGGGTAGATCTCTAGATTGCAACGACTGTGAAGATAGTGAAAGAGATAGCAGTATTCAATGGCAGCACTGTAGAGCGCATCTCAGAAAGCCGGGGTTTTGTGTAGAAGCATATTTATTGTCACCTTTATTATGTATGCATCCTGTACACGTATAGAAACAAACCAAAGCCAAACAAAAACTACAAACCGAACTCATTACCATAACACATATGTATCATACAATCTATACTGACGGTCTCCTACCTCTCTCCCTCCGATTAACATCCTCCATCTCCTCTAGGATCGTCTTGTTAAACTCTTCATGCCCGTCGAGGTAGATATGGTGTCCGGATCTCTTGATAACAACCACCTTGGCTGAACCGTTATCTTCCCTGCGCTCTTCTGGAGTGGCATCTTGCAGAATCCGTCGTCTCTCCTCTTCGATCTTGTGCTTAGCGGCGAGGCCGCCTGCGGCATCCATCCAGTCGTGGTCTCCATACATGAAGACGACTGGAATACCGTTCTCGCGTTTGACGAGCGTAGACTGGTTATCGGCGCGACCCGTCGATGCGTCATTAGGTTGGCTCACAGCTGGCTGAGGGGATGGGGCCTGCGAGGCATCAGTTACTTCGGCCGGCTCCCAGTTCGGAGAGGATGAAGAAGGCTGTATCATCTGTCGTCCAACGTCCTGGATGCGTCTGATCAGAGGACTGCGAGCGAATGCTCCCGGGGCAAGAATGTATGCCAGTGCATACTCCCCACTGCCTCGAAGACTGAAGATGGAGTAAGAATAGTCGTGTAACGACTTAGCCTCCTCAGCGGGGAGATGCGAAAAGCGTCGCGAAGTCCATCCGGAAACAATTCGCGGTCCAAAAGGACCTGCCCAGCGCACGAGCGTGAAAGGTGAGATGTTCTGATCCCAGAGGTAGGCAAACCACTTGGGAAGCGTTCGACGAGGTGGACCGCTTGGCACCGTGGTGGCAGCTCCTGTAGTATTCGCAGGACCCTTTAGAAGGACGTTATTGTCACCCTTCTGTAGTTCCCCCGGAAGAGGAGGAGTGACGGCCGCGGTTGTGGTGCGCTGCTGATCCTGGGTGACTTCACTAGGCAGAGTCGACTCCGATGGCTCGGGCATTTCAGCGGTCACGGCATGGGGATCTTCAGGAATACCCACGGGCGAAGCAAGAATGAGTTTGTTCAGACGACCGGGATATTTGAGCGCATAGGCTACGGCCATGTATCCTCCAAGACTGTGACCAAGAAGGGTAAAGCGCTCGATCTTGCGCTTGATGCGCCACTCCTCCAGGGCATCCACAAACCAGTCCTCAGCCTCCTTGATCGCATCTTCCCGCTTTTTGGCATTGATACGAAACGAGGGGCGGGTGCTGCGACCCATACCCAGCATATCTAGTGCATGCAGTTGCCATCCTTTGAGTCGACTCAACGGTTCGAAGTTCTTGTAGAAAAATCCCAGACCAGCACCATATCCATGTAGCATAACCAAATGTTGATCAGCCTGTTCCCCAAGTCGTTCTACCGAGAATTCGTTGAGCGCGCGGTCCTTGCCACTCAACTCGACCATGCTGGACTTCCATCGGCGGGGTCCGTACGGATCACCGAGGGAACTGGCGGCCACTTCGCTCTGCTGACTGGTATCTGTATGTTGCAAACTGTCGACCGTTCCATCCGTTGCATCTGTCGTTTTACCCGTCTGTTGATGCGTCGGGGGTGTACGTTGCAAATATGGTAGATGGGAGAGCACCTTGTGCTCTGCGACAGCAGCCGGGATACTAGCCCACTGAGACAGCCCAATAAGTTTCAGTGACTGCCTGATTTCACAATAAAGTATTACAGACACATCACGAAAAAACAAGCACGTACCCATTGACTGAAGCCTTCTCTGTATCCTAAGGGAAACCAGCCCGAACCTGCTGCCAGGCCACCGCGAGCAGCATATGGAGTGCTGTCGCGACGGCCATGGTCATGAGCGTGACTTTCTGATGAATCCAACCTTTCCGACGCCATGGAGGATATCTGTCGCAACGAAGAACCCGGCTCGAGCGATGCGAAGGACGCGGAATGACGAAGAAGCGAATCGGTCTGCCGGGCGACCTGTAAAGTAAGCAAAGGAAGTCGCAGTGAGAACACTTTGTCGCACAGAAAGAAAGAACAGAGTGACAGAGATAGCAAGAGAATCTCCTGTCACTCGATGCGATCAAAAAGACGAGTTCATACAAAGTGGTGAAGAGGAAAGAGAGTGGAAGATGACAGGAATCGGAAAGCTGGCGGCGCGAAGAAAACCGTTGATCCGACGTCACATTCAGAACAACAATACAGAACAGGAATAATTCAATTACATATATTAGCAGTATGAAAACAAATATATACGTAACATAGAAATAGAAATAGAAGTAGATAAATACCCCGCAAAACACATGACAACAGTACTTTGTCGTTCTTAACAGCTTCATCTTTTATCTGTTTCGGCTTCTCCTTTCCTCTTCTCACTTCTCCAAGGCTCTTTTCCTTCTTTCTGTCTCTTCTCGTCCATGCCATGAACTAGCATTTGGCCGTGAAGGCCGTGCTTCTGTCTGTTTCCGCCTCTGAATCGATATTCCGTTCATTATAACCAATTATCCCGGCTGCTGCTGCCGCTGCTGTACAATGGCCACTTCCGCCAACCTCGACCAGCTGGTCAAGGGATCTACTCCCTCTTCTAATCACACTCTCTCGGCTCCTGCTCCTTCATCCTCATCTTCCGAACTATCCGACTCGTCATCCTTCACTCCTCAATCGTCGTTCACCGCATCGCCCGATCTCACCTCATCATCGCCATCCCCGGCATCCCCGCCGGATCCGCTGTCGACCCTGCCTTCCTCCCCTCCTCAGATTTATCTGAACCTTCTTATCCTCGAAAGCTCTCTACGGGCTCAATATCTTGCATTACGCGAACGGCGCCGTCAAAATACCTTTTTCCTACTTTTGTTGGCTGCCTGGATCACCTACTTTGCTTATGCACTGTTCCTCCGGCCGCGAGAGGATGGCCGCGGCGTGGGCGGTTCCGTATACTGGGTGGTTGAGATGGGTGAGAAGGTCGCCTTGCTAGGTGGTATCGTTACAGCGCTACTGGTCTGGGGTACTGGTCAATGGGAGCGTGGAATCCGCTGGCCGCGGCGCTGGCTCGCCGTCGCCAATCGCGGCCTGCGTACCATGAACACCAAGATTGTGGTCATTCGCGGGCCCTGGTGGCAGGAGCTGCTTGGCTATCTGTCCTTCCTCTTCCCGTTTTCGATTCCGTTCTTCCCATCGCCAATCGGGAACTTCCGCTACGTTGACCGAAATCTATCCGAGAAGCGCGGGGGTCGGCCGCATTACCCGCAGTACTATAGCAGCGTGGACGATGAATCGGGGCTGGTGGAGGAAGACCTCAGCCCGGGAGGTGACTATATCAGGTTGCTCCTTTTGCCCAAGTCTTTCTCTCCGGAATTCCGCGAGAACTGGGATGACTACCGCGCCGAATTCTGGGATAAAGAAAACGAACGACGTGCGCAGCTGCGGCAGAAGCTGCACGAGCGGGAACGTCAACAGGCACAGCAGAATAAGAGTAGATTTTGGTGGATGAGTTTTGCATGGAAGTCTTCATCCCCTGCGTCGCCGTCGCAGCAGCGTCGCCGTCCTGCAGCAACGGGAACATCCCAGCATCATCGCCACCACCATAGCTCGAGCTCGAATTTCAAATCTGCCTCCCGTCGCGGTGCACGCTCGGAATCCCATTCACGCACGCCCTCTCGCAGCACTACTCCCGTGGACGCGGACGAACGTCCACCCTCGCGTTCGGGCACCACCGGCCGTCCACGACGAGAAGCACAACCCCGTCCTCCACACCGATAGGTACGGAGCGTCGAAAGAGAAGCAATTCTAAGACTCTTCCTTCGCATGGGTTGTCACCTTTAACTCAGGCCCAAATCAGGGAGGGAGTACCTCAGGAGGTTCAAGAAGTGGAGAATGCAGGATAACACTTCCTTGCATGTGTATATGTACGGCTGTTTTGCCGTGCAGCCATGTTTATACTACTAATATGCTTTTTTCTTTCTTTGTATGTCTTATGTGCATGTCTAGGATCACTGAACAGCCTGGGGTATATAGGCAGTTTCACTGTGACACGTTTAATTTGAGATAATGGAACTAATTATTACATAAGTCCTTCCAGCTTGTATAGACTTTTGGAAGCGTATGCACTGTGTATCAACTTGAGCATTGAGGCTAGGGTTTCTGTCAAGCCCTGGTCCAGTTCGTTATAAGGAAGACCCTTGGCTTCAGAGAATCTTAGCAATGCGATTGGCCCATTCAAGCTAGGCATGGGATACCGTTAGTGACAAAGTATGATTGCCGTTGTTCTCACTTGTCTACCTACGATTGCCAGCAGGTGCCTTCGCTATATTTGAAACGAGACGAGTGGTTTTACGCTTGTTTCATTTGCCAAGCTGAGACTGTTTCAACAAAGGGGATTATCCAGAAACCTTCTCCAGAATGGGAAATATGATCCTCGCAAGCGCGGAACACCACGGTTGCAGCTCTTGATTGAGCGTGTGTTCAATTATATTGCAGACATTGAAAGCCTTGCACACACCGAACTTTCACAAAAAAAAAAAAAAAAAAAAAAAAAAAAAAACAGGAACGTCCTCAAAGACTTTGGCCTCGGATAGGCCACACAACGGTTCAGGAGATTTATATTCTGATTGCACCGGAATAATGCGAGGCTTTGTCGCGTGCGTAACTAATCAGAATTCATATTCAACCTCTGCTATATGATTGTCATATAATCAGGCGCAGCAAACCAGTTGCATGTGTTGTTTGCTTATGCTCCAATCACTCAACAAGAACCTCGGTATTGCCATAGGGTTAGAGGCAGCCATACTATACTGGCCTACGATCCAGGAGATCGAATCGAATT